GAGAACACAACAACAGTTATAGTCCATGAAGCTATAAATGAAGAATACGAGTGGGTTCAGTATAACAAACAGTTACGTCTCATTCGTTCGGTCAAAGACGATATGTACCAAATGCAAAGTATTTTGACAGCATGTTTTGCGCCAGATACCAAGCTTCCTAAAGACTGGTTTAGGAACCAAAGCACTATTGAACTATTAAATGAAGCTGAAAATTCGACTACGGATTTTCTCGTAGTCGCAAAAACTCGAGTGGGAGAAAAACCCCAGTCGCCAAAACTCTATGAAAACAGTGAAGAACAGCGAGTGGGAGAAAAACCGCAGTCGCCAAAACTCTATGAAAATCGTGAAAAATTGCCAAATGGTTTGAGAGGATATTATGTTCATAGACTTCTTGTAAATAATGTGGCACAATGGGCTTCAGCTCGCTATTCTTGGTATATTTGTAAACTTCTTGACGAAATTCATAGACAAGAACGTGAAGAGATGGAAAAGAAACTTCAAGCAAAAGATGAAGTCATTGAAGCAAAAGACAAAACCATACAGAAAAGAATACCACGTTCGGTACCAAAAGGAAAGGAAAAGAACTATAAGTATATGATTTATACTGAAGAGATGGAAAATGAAGAAGACAGAGATATGGTTATGTTGCATTTAGTCAGAAGAAACAACAAAAGCTTTTACGACCTTGCTAAGATTTACAAATCTGACAGAAATTGGTTCTATCGCGAAAACTTACCGATTTCAATGACACCGAATGAAGATGTTAAACAGATAGTTCAAGATACGTTACCTCAAACACACTATGATATGAAAGGTTGTACAATACTTACCTTCAAAGAAGATTTGCCATTGTTAAAGGAAAAAATAACAGAGTATTTCGACAACTTCAAACAAGTAGGGTAAATTTCAATCTTTATTTTTACGCTTGACCTTTACATTCTGCCTGAGGAAGTCTTTAACAAGCTCGTTAATTTCAATTAGATAAATTGCTTCGTCTAAGGGGTCAAGCTCCATACTGAGTCAGTACAATGTTGTACTTTTTCAAGACAATATTGTACTTTTTCAAGACAATGTTGTACTTTTTCAAGACAATGTTGTACTTTTTCAAGACAATATTGTACTTTTTCAGAACAATGTTGTACTTTTTCAGAACAATGTTGTATAAATTCAGTACAATGTTGTATAAATTCAGTACAATGTCTCTCAAATTTGAGTACAGCTGTACTTTTTCAGAACAAGTCTTGAACTTTTTCAGAACAATGTTGTACTTTTTCAAGACAATGTTGTACTTTTTCAAGACAATATTGTACTTTTTCAAGACAATGTTGTACTTTTTCAAGACAATGTTGTACTTTTTCAAGACAATATTGTACTTTTTCAGAACAATGTTGTACTTTTTCAGAACAATGTTGTACTTTTTCAGAACAATGTTGTATAAATTCAGTACAATGTCTCTCAAATTTGAGTACAGCTGTACTTTTTCAGAACAAGTCTTGAACTTTTTCAGAACAATGTTGTACTTTTTCAAGACAATGTTGTACTTTTTCAAGACAATATTGTACTTTTTCAAGACAATGTTGTACTTTTTCAAGACAATGTTGTACTTTTTCAAGACAATATTGTACTTTTTCAGAACAATGTTGTACTTTTTCAGAACAATGTTGTATAAATTCAGTACAATGTCTCAAATTTGAGTACAGCTGTACTTTTTCAGAACAAGTCTTGAACTTTTTCAGAACAATGTTGTACTTTTTCAGAACAATGTTGTACTTTTTCAAGACAATGTTGTACTTTTTCAAGACAATGTTGTACTTTTTCAAGACAATGTTGTACTTTTTCAAGACAATATTATATTGTTTCAGAACAAAGACGGTTAAGACACAAACGAATGTCCGACGTTCCTCTTCCTGAATGTCTTCCAAAGCCAGAAGAACCGACAGCCCCAGCACCACAACAGACTAAGACTCAAACTCTTACATTTTTCAAGCTTGACTTTTTACAATTTGAACTTTGTTCGCGTAGATGTGAATTCTGAAAGAAGTATGAGGGTCTTGTATGACTTTGTACTTCTCCCATAGTTCATGTCTGTCAAACTTACCTGCCATGGACTCTTTCATAAGTTCCATGAAATCGTCTTCGGACAATCCAGGGAAAAGTATGATATCAGTAAGTATTCTCTTTACATCCTTACTTAAACTCTTGGCTGTCTGTACACAAATGACAACTGAAATGTTAAAGTGTCTGAGCTTCTTAAGAATTCGACACATGTCTTGTTCTCTGTTCTTTAACAAAGGATGAGAAGCAAAGTCATCTAAGATAAGAAGACATCTATGAGGGTAAGTCTTCCAATCGTACGATTGCAATTTCTTCGAAATGTATTCTATCTCTTTCTGTTTGTTTCTGAAGTGTTTCTTCTCTAATATTCTCTGCATTTCCTCATTTGGGTCTTTAAACTTCGAATTTATATACTCATTTATAGCATTGTACTTCAAAACTCTTCTTTGGTACTTCTTTATCCAATCTAACAACTCAGAGTCTTTTATACATACTAACTTAGACTTCTTTATAATATCTTTGAACGAATTGACGGTTTGGTCGAATTGACCAGAAGTACTACAAATGACAACTAACTCATAGAATGGGTTCTTCTCATCTAGTTCTTGTTGTTGTGCAGCCATTTTAAGATAAGTGAAAGTCTTACCCGACCCAGGTGGTGCGATTAGACCTGTTATACCATTCTGAGCAAATAGGAACTTGTCATGTATGGGTTTTATCTGAGCATTTTCTAACTTCCTCTTGTTCTTGTTTAAAACATTCTCAAATTTCTTGTCAATGTCAGCAAACTTTTTTTCTAACATATTTTTAGAAAAATTAAAAATTTTATCTTTTAGAAAATGTCTAGCGATTTCGCTATCTATATTCGAGACAAGCTTTTCGACTCTAAAACTTCTGTCGACCATAAAATCTTACATAGTGTAAACAAGAAAGGTGAATTTGTTCTAAAGTTCTGTTTCTGGGAATATGACAAGAACCATAAAACATTAGGCAGAGAAGTCTTAAAATTTGTCAATGACAGACTTGTTGACAGAGATGACACCGATTGGAAAGCTGAAGTCCAACAAAAGTTCTTAGAATGCAAAGAAGACACATGCGCTGTTCTTGAAGATGAAATAGAAAACAGAATAGAAGAGCTATTAAAGGACAAAGAACTTTTACATAAATATGGTTGCGCCAAATTTGACATAACTCCACCAGAGAAGAAGAAGAAGAGAGAAAAGAAAGAAAAGAAAGTAGAAGAAGAGAAGAAAGAACCTGAACCAGTTCCAGAGAAGGTGAGATATGACATGTAAAAATAAAATTTTATTTTTAGAACATTTCTGGGTCAATGTCAATGTTCTCTTCCTCTTTAGGAGCAAACACTGGCTTAGACTCTAAAATCTTTTTACCTAATTTACCTTGAACTTCAACTATCTTAGACTCATAATATTCATAGTCGTCTGCTTTCTTTGGTTCATAAGGTATAACAAGTTTGTATGCTTTGCCTTCTTTAAGGTTTGAGAACCTTCTGTCAAAATTTTCTTTGACTGCTAACAAACCTTCTATGTCTAAGTCTTCAAATTTCGCACCATTTTTAGTCACAATAGCAAACTTAACTGGTTCGATGTTCCAAACTTTGTCAAATGTAGACTTTTCAAAATGGTAGAAGTAAACATTCAAATAAGCGAATGGGTCTAGTTCTTCTTTGACTTCTGTCATGTACTTGTTGACTGAAATATATTTCGTCATCTTTTCTATCGGATAAAAAAATATTTTTTTTATAAAAAACGTTTTAAAATGGTATGCCATATAGCTTCTTGAATTTGTTAAGAAATAGTCTAACGCATTTTCCATCTGTATCTCTAGCGTTTACATGAGCACAGCCATCCTTAGTAAAATATACTTGTAATTTTCTATAGTTTACGCCGGTATAAAGGTAGAAAGTCCTGTTCTTCGCTATAGTAGTAAAACTCAAACGTATGCTCGCCATAGTCTGTAATTTCAATTGCTTCATCTTCTAGTTCGTCGACAAATTCGAATACTATATCTCTAAATTTGCTTTTGTTCTTATTGTTTTCAGAACGAGTGACCCAACGCAAGTTTTCAAGTCTATTGTCGTTTCTTATATGGTTTATATGGTCTACAAAAGGTAAATTGTTAGGGTTCGGTATAAAATGAGTTGCAATGACAACATGTTTAAAATAGTTTTTTCCACTCATACTCATCCTAGCATATCCGTTATTTTGCTCCCATCCGCTTAAAACTCTTTTTGTCTCTTTGTTTCTGACTTCAAATGACTCACAACAGTGAATTTCATATTTCTCATCTAACAAACAAGTTTTCCAACAGTCTTTTCCAACAAACTCAGCGTACATTTCAAATAAAATAAAAAAATATTTTTTTTAAAATTTACTCAGAAAAATTTTTCTTTGTATATACGCCGTTCTGAACATCTAAAAGATTTTTGACATTTGCCAAGAATGTTCGTTTAGACGCTGTCATATAACCATACTCTTGACAATATTGTTTATATTCATCGTACAACGACCTTTCATCTAAACACTCAAAGTTAGTCTCATCTATAAACAGTTCATATACACTCTTGTTTGCTTCTAACAATGTTTGTCTTTCTTCGGTATGTGGAATTTGTCTTGGATTGAACTTAGAAATATCTAATGTCATGAAATATGAGAACAAGTGGTTGTAAAAGTTAGGTGTCAAAGTTTCTGCTAAGTCGTCAAAATATTCTGTATCTTGCATATGAGCTTCTGACGTTCTGACAACTACATATCTTCTGTCAGAACTTTCTAACTTCATCGGAACGGCGTTGTTTGAAACCATAATGAAGTTTGCAACATTTTCACAAACTCTTTGGTCTTTATATTTTCTTTCAACAACTCCAACTTTGTCTGTTATAAGACTCTTCAAAGCATCTGAGTTCAAAACTTTTGTTGTATCTATACTTTGAAGTTCGTTACATACTATAAGTTTCATATTCTCTATTGAAGAGTTAAATTTACCGCAGATGTTTTCTAAGTTTGTCATATTAGGGTTCGAATAGCCCTCTAACAGTTTGCACAAAATATCTGTAAAGAAAGTGTTCTTACCAGTTCCTTGTTTTCCAATTATAATGAGAGCAGTTTCATTTTTAGCACTTGGATATTGTAAGATGTTTGCAAACCAACATAAGATATACTCATAAACCTTTTCGTTTCCATTGCATATAATTTCTTTGACATGGTCTAACCAAGCTTCTATAATATTTTCTTTCCATTCTACTTGTTCGTATTTATATCCAGTGAAGATAGAATAGAAGTTTGGAGAAGGTGTATAAAACTTTATACCTCGAACTGAAAAATCTTCTAACTTCGACAATAAGATATCCCAAGCATCTAACATCTTCATACCAACTTGTACGACTTTTATTTTCTTAAGTTTCTGTCTACATTCTTGTTCTGAAACTATGGTTGCTCTTGGTTTGTTAAAGACAACATCCCATTCTTTCATGACATAACATTCTGGGGCAGAGTCGACATAAATGACTAAACGTTTCAAATTCTCGACTGCTTTGTTATAGTCTCGAAATGGACACATATTTCTGAATGCTTGGAAGTCATAAAAATCTGAAACATCTATTCTGTACATTTTTATAAAAATAAAAAAAAATATTTTTTTTATTCTTGACTTTTTGTTGCATTTGTTCCATTTGTTGCATTTGTTGTTCTTGAGCTATTTGTTGTTGAAGTTGTTCTTGTAGTACAATACTTTCACCAGTTGCATCTTCCAATTCGAAACTTTCTGCCGTCATTGACAAATACATAGGACATAAAAGTTTTACAGGAACAAAGTTTGCGTCGACTAAGGTTAAGTTTATGTTTGCTAAAGTGTTTGAGTTTACTAAAGCTGAAAACTCTGCATTCGAATGAACAATAGGCAAACCAGCAGAGAAAGTGTTGTTTATACGCATGAGTATTTTTGGTCATAGTAGTTTCTGTCGACATTCGAATAGCACTTTGAACCTAAGTTTGAAACAATATATAAAATAGGTGTACTTAAAGTCAATGGAACAGAACCTTGTATGACACCTTTTCCTGTTATAGGAAACTGTTGGTAGTAAAAACCAGATATAAGTTTTGTATTATAGCTCATATCGTTTATAGTAAACTCAGTCGGACATCCAAACATAATGAAACCTGCTCTAGTTGCAGCACATGTTACATCCGTCCTTAAAGTATTAAATAAGTCAACAAAACCTGTTGGTGGTATATCTGAGTAAGTATCTTCAAAGAAGTATTTTTTACCATTCACAACAACAAAGTCTTCTGGTGTCAAAAGAGCAAAACAGGCTTTAGTCGTCATTGTGTTTAAAGTTAGTTTACAATACCGTCCTTGAGGACTTTGTAAGTTTGTTGTTATAGAATTATATGACTCAGGGTTTTTAGTCGTAATAGTATAAACCACTATGTCTTCTGCCATTTACTTAGCAAGTAAATTTTAATGAAATGTTGTGGTCGTCAAATATTTTTATGACGTCTGGGAAACTATACTTTAAGTTCAACGTTTCACCTCCTTTCATAACGTATATCTTGTCAATGACATTATATGAAACACCACAGCAACTAACGTCGGGTTCTATTTCTTTGATGTTTATATCGTCTGCCTCTGTCAAAAGTTTCAATAGTTCTTTCAAAACTTCATGAGGTGCAATGACATATGAGTTCACTTTTACAGGGTTGTGTTCGACCAAGTTTAACATTATACCCAAAGCCTGACAAATCTTCTCCTGAGTTTTAAGTTTGTCTTTAAGTTGTTGGTAGTCGTTTCGAATATCTGCAACAGAACTTAAGTCTCTGCTAACTTCAGGGTATGTTGGTTGTTCTTTTACAGGAACAATTGTTATACCATCTTCGTCTTCGTATGGTTTCTCCACTTCAACATCTCTTTCTTTGACATTGACAACAACACTTTGACTGTTTGTTTGAGTTGGTGAATTTAACTTCACATCTGCCATCGCCATTAAACCTTTTGAAACACTTACGCTTCTATTTTTCGGAAATGACATTTTACTTAGAATAAAAAGATGGACGTATTTGAGTATCTCTTCGAATTGAAGCAAAACAAAGTTTACACACACAAACAATACAATCATTGAGAATAGTTCTTTATACAAACAATGGAAAATGTTATAGAATAGCAGTCTTTGCTGAACCAAAATATTTTCATAAAGCAAAGAAAGTTGGTATAACTGAAATGGTGAAAGTTCTTGAAGCAGACAAAAATATAACAACAAAACTGACCGATATTTCTAAAGGAAAGTTTTTAATACAATATTATATCAAAACTGGCGTACTGTCAATATTTGACGGAGAGAAGTCAGTTCAAGAACAACTTACTGACCTGCTGCCAAAATCTGCTCGATGGAAGCTGTCGTTATGCCAATCTGAGGAGCCCCAGCAGGTTTCATCGAACGAATCTTCAAAAGAGCATCTTCCGTGAAAAGTGCTATTGGTTTTGTAAACTTCTTTGCTTTCAATTCATTTGGACCGTCTCTGTCACCAGTATATTGTATTTGAACTGTACCAACAGTTGAAATACCACCCATAAAGTCTTCTGAGTCAGCAAATGGAATGCCAAGCCAAAAGTTTGAACGGTCTCCATTTGTATATTGAGTTTTTTGACCTCCTGTATGAGTCCATACTTTCACATATGGCATAATAGAACTTTGCATTTCAGGGTTAATGGTTGTTGTGAAGTTGTTGTTAAAGTTCATAGCATCTAATGTCAAGTTGTATGACCTCATATCCTCAACTGTAGAATATTCTTCTCTTGGATAATATTTGCCATCTATGTTTATATGGTATTTAATACCAGGGTTGTAGAAGCAAGAATAGTCATTTATAGTTCGTCTGAACAGTACAAACATAGTATCTGCATGTTTCATTGCAGTTGTTAAGGCAATATCTGTTCTTGCACCTGGGTCAGCACTTTGGTTTCCAACTTCACCTGCAAAGTCTTTGACAGATATTTGGTGTATAGGGAACATAAGTGGAACTGCAATATATTTGGCAGCTAAAGCATTTGAAATATCTGGGTCCAACATATAGACTGCAAGTCTGCTTTCTATTCTCTTGCATTCAAATTTTTCGCATGTGAACTTAACTGGGTCCCAAGCATCTCCAGCAGCATTGAAATAATAGTTTACTTCAGTGTTGAGGTTTGAGAAACCAAAGTCTAAGTCAACTTTGTTTTTGCAAAAGTCGGCGAATGACATTTTATTTGTTCCCACTACTTCTGTAAGAGTGAATGGGTCTTGTGTTGGTGCAATGACTAAGTTATTTTTGCTTGGAGTAAGTTCGATAGAAATTTTTCCTGCCCAGTTTGGCAAGTATCTTAAAAACCTGAAGATGAGGAAAGATGACAAAGGAACTCTAAGTTTCAATTTTACTTTGGTTACTGCTGCTGCATTTTGTCCAGAAAGGTCAACATAAACTCCTGGAACGTTAGGGTCAAGTCTTCTTATTTTCTCAATAGTTGCATACTGGTCTGTTTGTTCTCTAGCTTGTGGTTGTACTGAGTTTCTCAAAGCGAACCATTCATAGTTTGCCCATGTTACTGTTTGAACTAAGTCAGAGTTAGAATATATCTTATATCCATGAAAACTTCTGGAGCATATTGGTATCCGACATAGAAAATTCCATTGCAACCTTTCTTGTCAGACAACTTGGCAGAAGGTTTTATTTCAATGTCTTGTTCCACGTATAAGAAATGAGTTGTCAATAGAAATAATATGAAACCTGTCGCAAGCAATATCTACTGTTGTTGAAGAACCTTCTCCAAACTCACCTACGTTTCCATAAGAAACAGCAGTTGTATATTCGTAAGTTCCAGGAACTATTTCTGACCTTCTAATGGCATTGTCGCATTCGTTATACCATTCGGAAACATTTCCATTCATAGCATCCAAAACTGTTGGCGTTATATTCTGAGCGGCGTACATTTCATATGAGTAAAAATATAGAATAGTTGGATTTATATGTCATAATAGAACCCACTCCGACCAAGCTTTACTTTCTTCCTGACTGAGTTTTTAACTCTTCTTTTTCCTTCATTGCCCTCTGCTTGAAGTTGTTGCATCTTTGCATTATGTTCATCTAGTATGTTGCAAATTTCCCATGTCCTTTTTGCCTTTGGGCTCTGGTCGCCCATCTCAGGTAACCTATATCCTAGAAAGATTTTGTCATAGTTTGTATTTGAGTCTTCGCGTATTGTTTGCATGACTCTTTCCTGAGTTTCCGGTTCAAGCTCTTCAAACAGTGCCTGTCCATATGGAATATGCTCGTTTCCAAATATATGTTTTTGTAGCCATTCTGGTTTTCTTTCCATGTTACCAACTATATCTTTTGTGAATGGGAAAGCTTCTACCCAATCTTTCAGTCTTGCGTCGTTTATTTCTGTAGTTGGTTTTATTTTGTCAAGGAACATGTTTTTCAATACTAACATTTCATTTGGTACTGTCCATTTGAGTTTTCTTAAATATTCATCCCTTCTCGGTTCATTGTCTGCAAAGTAAGTTTTTATGACATTTTGTAAACTTTCGTTTGCAAGGTCATGTACAATAGGTTCTCTTCCTTCTCCCTCCCTAACTTTCTTTCTAAACTCTTCACCAAATATACCATCTCTATGGTTCTGTGTAGTTCTTTGAGATAAATGTTCTAGAACGTCAGGTGTTATATTTCCATCAGCCATGTTCATTTCATACTGGTCCAAAATATCTGCATGTTTCATATCTTTCAATGGCATTAAAGCCGCGCTTAAAATACCAGCTATATCTGGTTCACCATTGACTTCCATTGCGTCTACAACTTCTTGGAATTGAGGTTGTAAGTTTATGAACCACCTATCCGGGTTAGCTTTATGACCCCATCTCATTGTAGTTCCATCGTCTGCAGAAACAAAAGTAGGTTTGTTTCCATCTTGGTTAGGTTCTGAATGAACTTTAAACAATGTTTCATTTCTATATGTTTTCTTGAAATTTAACCTTTTATCTTCACCGAGTTCATCCGAAGATTGAACGTTAAATGCTCGTAAGTAAAAAGGGTTGTTGTATTTGTGTACATTTTTTTTCAGTTCTTCCATTCTATGCTGGATATTTTCATCTGGTGTTGGAGTCTTTTGTATGTCGGCAAACATTTTTCGATATTCTTCTACTATGTCAGCTGAATTTTTTTTGACTCTTGGAAAGATTCCATATTCTCCGCATACTCTTGTTGAGGGTCAAGATTTTTCGGCTGTTCCAAATCTTCATCTAGTTCTGTGAAGTTAGTTTCCAAAGGAAGGACTTGTTCGTTTCCTTCAGGCTCTTCTAGCTGTTGTTGCTGAACTATTTCTTCCATGTCTGGTTGTATCTGAACTTCTTCCTGTGGAGTTTCTTGTACCTCATCTGCTGGCATTTCATATATTCCGAGACCGTTTTCAACAATTTCCCTATCTACGTCATCCGCATTCATAAGCTTTTGTTCTTTCGTTCCGTCTCTATTTTTTACGCGTTTCATGACGAAAGTTGAATTGTCATTTAGCTCTGACATCAAATATCTCGGAGTAAATTCATCCATGTCATTTGGATGATATGCTATTAAATCATATCCCTTAGCGAGCTTGTATTTTCCAGGTTTGAGATTATATCCGTTTTGGTGCTGAGCCATAAAGCTAAATAGGTTCGGGTCAGTATTTCCATCCTTGAACTTTCTAATAGCTTCTTTATATCTGTCACTAAAGTCAACAGTATCTGGGAAACCACACTCTTCTTTAAGCATTTTTAAGAATTCTTGGTTTCCTTGTTCTCTACTTCTTTTATGTCCTTGCTCTGTTGTGGTTGTTGTTGTGCAGGGTTTTGAACTGTTGGTTGTTGTGCAGGGTTTTGAACTGTTGGTTTTGTGTTGGTTTTGGTGCATGCCTGTGTCTGTGTCCATGTGACGATGTAATGTTCTAGGTAGTCCTGGTGCAGGTGCTTCTCTTGGAGGGTTTGGTGGTTATAAGTTCCACCAGCTGGCACATATTTCCATCTGCAGCGTAATGTCCTACCTGACTTTTCGTTCTTAAGAAAGCATTTACTAGGTCTGTTTTGGTCTGTTGGAAATCTTTTTCTTGACTTTCCACAACAGTTGCTCTAACGGCGTCATAGGCACTTTGAACTGCCTGTCTCGTTGCTGCATCTGTTATTTTCGTCATATTTTGTGCTACTTCTTTAACTCTTTGTCGAAACCTTCAGACTTCAGTTTCTTTCCAGATGAGAAGTCGTTCACTTGTTTCACCTTACTATGAAGAGCTTCGAAGGCGTTCTTAAAGTCAGCATTTGTTAAAGCTTCATTTGAAACTGTCTTCATCCGCTTGTATTTTTGTCCTTATTGACCCTATGAGTTGGGCTGCTTTAGCGTTGGCTTGGGCATCTAACCAGTCATTGTTAGCTTTTATATATTCTGCGCTTTTCATTGCCTTTTGCATGGCTGCGTCGTTATTTTTACTTTCTTGCGCTAAGTTTTCATACTGTACGGTTTGGTTTTGCAACTGTAAAAGTTTTTCTGCCTTTACATTTGCTTCAACTTCTTTTTTATACTCATCGCTATCCATATATGTCTTCAGGCTTTTTGTTTTATTTCTTCATCTTTCAGTACTTTATATTGAGTAGTATGGTTTTTCAAATTTATGACATCTTGTTCCATTTTTGCTACTTCTGCTGCTTTTTCTGACACTTTTTTCGCATATTGCTCTGTACTTAGTTCTTTCAGTTGTTCTTCTTTCTTCTTTTTCTCTACGTTTAACTCATTGAGTTTCTTTGTGTGTCTGTCATATTCTAGTTTCTTTTCGTTTTCACTTATTTGCTTCTGTATGTCTATGTTTGACTTTTTGACATCTGCTATTTGATTTTTGAGTGAACTCAAATTCATTTGACTTTGAGGGTTATAGGCTGTTCCGTCTGCAGCTCCACCATAGCCTGCCATTTTCGCTAAAAGTGCCGCTCTTAAACCTCCACTCTGTGCACCAACAACTCGGTTTAAAAGCATAGGATTGCTTGACATTTGTTGCAACATAGTGGGGTCATTCAGCATTTGTTGTTGCAACTGTTGTTGTGGTGTTAGTCTTACTATTGGATGTTTCAATGCTCTCTTCCTCTTACGTATATTCTTACGTAGCTTACGTGGCATTTTAAGTGAAGTTAAAAAGCGGCTTTTGACAGATGTTTTATTGAGACTTCTTCGTAAAGACTTTGTTGAGACTTCTTCGTAAATGACCCAAAAATATATTTTAGGGTAGAAGGGTATATCTACCCTCTTTTCTACCCTCTTTTCTACCCTCTTGAATTTTCATGATTTCTTCGTAAATGTTTTGTCAAGACTTCTTCGTAAATGTTTTGTCAAGACTTCTTCGTAAATGTTTTGTCAAGACTTCTTCGTAAAGACTTTGTTAAGACTTCTTCGTAAAGACTTTGTAAAGAAAGTTCATGAAAATTCAAGAGGGTAGAAAAGAGGGTAGAAAAGAGGGTAGATATACCCTTCTACCCTAAAATATATTTTTGGGTCATTTACGCTCATTGTCTATGTTTTGTTGAGACTTCTTCATCTAATTTCTCATGAACTTTCTTGTCTATGTTTTGTAAAGACTTTGTCAAGACTTCTTCGTAAAGACTTTCTTGTCTATGTTTTGTAAAGTTCTTCGTAAAGACTTTGTAAAGACTTTGTAAAGACTTTGTAAAGACTTCTTCGTAAATGTTTTGTCAAGACTTCTTCGTAAAGACTTTGTTGAGATTTCTTCGTAAATGTTTTGTCAAGACTTCATTATACTCATTCATCCTCAGGGCTAGAAGGCACGAAGTGCCTGGAAGCCCCACTACCTTTTTTTTTTTTTTTTTTTTTTTTTTTTTTTTTTTTTTTTTTTTTTTTTTTTTTTTATAATTAACATATTCATAATGTTTCACCCTTTCAAAAATATAATCCTTCTCCTCTCAAATAAACGTACATACGGGTGGCCTCTTTTTTCAAAAAATTAAAATTTGAAATTTTGGGCTCAAATATTAGAGATTTTTTCAACCTTCAACGATATATGTTGTCTATATCAGACCTCCTTTCTTTTTGATACTTAACATTGTTCCTAAATCTTAGCCGTTAAGGCTGTTCTGAAAATATTTTTTTTTCGAAAAAATTCGAAAAAAATTCTTAAAATTCAAAAATCCCTTAATTCCTGAGGAGTTTGGGAAAAAGTTTTTATATGAACATGTGTATATTATATGAAGTATATTGATAAGGTAAAAATCAAATTTTATTGCATATTCATCGAGAAAATAAACTAACGAATCCCTCAAAATTGAGAGGGTAATCCTCCTCATCTCAAATAAACGTACATACGGGTGCACCCTTAATATTTCTTTTTTTTAAGAAAAATAAAATGAAATATCTCAATTCTAACAAAATAACGTCTATCTATTCAAATTTTTTACATTCTTTTGGAACATTGTGATACTTACGTTTGTCGAACTTTCTATCGATAGCGTTTACACACATAATATTTGACCTTGAACCTATTTTACTCCAAGGTCAATTTATATTTTCAATAGGTTCTCAAATTTTGAAATGTTTAGGTGTCACCTTTAGAGGATTTGAATGCTGACCTTCCTCCTTCGACCTATTCTTTCTGTTTCTGTCAATAAGCCAGTATTCATTCCTATTGAAGATAATGAATCCGATACTTCAGGTGTACCATATGCAGATATCGATATTACCTTATCAAAATCATTTACAAATTCTGCTCGCGTAAATGAAGCTTTATTTTTCATCTATAGCTATTTCTAATGGCGCATATTTCAGCAATAACTATGCATTTGGCACAGGTGTTGCTGCAGGATCAGGAGGTGCCATTTTTATCTCCTATTCGACATTAACTTCAACAGGTACATCTCAAATCACATTCTATCAAAATGAAGCTGGCCTTGGTGGCGCTTTTTGCGCTTTAGCATCTCCAGTTTTACTAAACAATATATACTTCAATGATAATAAAGCATACAAATTTGGTGGTGCCCTCTACTACCAAGGAGCATTAAAACAAGGTGCAGCTGATCTTGATAGTGCCCATGTCCTTATTCTCAAAGAAGTCATATTTAGAAATAATGATGGTGTCGAATATGGTGGAGCCATATGTTTTTCATCAGCTGCCGATGCCTACTTTGATGGATGCACCATCGAATCTAATACAGCATCATTCGCAGGCGCTGGTTTGTATTCATTTAATTCAGATGTGGTCAAGATTTTCAATACAAAATTTATCTCTAACAAACTATCTCCCAAAAAATTTAGACAATCTGATGGTACGGTTCCCAAAATTAACAACAATTTTGTATTAGATCTTAATAAATATAACCCACGCTTTAGGTCTAGAGGTGGTGGTGCCATTTGTTTTGTTTCTGATAACAAAAAAGGTATTTTGCCAAGCATGCAAACCACATCTAACAAGAAAAGGTTCATAAATACCATGAAGTGTTGTTTTAAGTCAAATACAGCCGGTTCTTATGCTACAAGCTTTGGCGGTGGTCCTGGTCATGATGTCGTGCTCGATGGCTTTGTACACTACATCTCAATGGAAGATGCAATTCAAGGATACACGGAAACGAACAAGAATCTCTTCATCTCTCACACCTGCAAGAGCTGGAATACAGATACTGCCACATCCCTGGAATTAAGTCTATTTGGCATGAATCAAAAATACCAAATGGAGACTATTTGCAGTATCACAACAGATTCTAGATCTTCAACAGATGCAGAAAGTAGCGTTAAATTTACAACTGGTGTTAGAAATGGCGATGGTACTTCAAGGGTTTCTTCTCCAACGCCATATAGTTATCCTAGAACCCCAATTACAAGGCTGCCACATGCGACGACGAAATCAACCAGTAGGATGCCACCATCCAAAAGGATCGATTTTACTCTTAAGACTCTTTCTGTCAAACAAACTTATCCAGCAACTCCCTACAAAACTGTTCATTCAACACCACATTCAACAGCCCACAAGACACCTTTCTCTACTGCACACAAAACTCCTCACAAGACTCCATTCTCTACAGTGCATTCCACACCTCATTCAACAGCTCATAAGACTCCTTTCTCCACAGCGCACAAGACTCCATTTGTTACAGTATTCAAAACTCCATTCTCTACTGCACACTCCACACCTCACTCCACATTCAACAAAGTTCGCTACTCCGCATTCGACATTTCACTCCACTCCGCATTCCACCCCTCATTCCACTGCTCATTCTACTCCTCACTCTACTCCACATTCGACAGCGCATTCAACACCTCATTCCACTCCACACTCAACAGCGCATTCGACAGCTCATTCGACACCTCATTCGACACCACATTCAACACCACATTCAACTGCTCACTCCACTCCTCATTCTACTCCACATTCAACACCTCATTCTACACCTCATTCGACAGCACATTCCACACCACACTCAACACCAATCTACACTATTTCTCCTTCAAGATCAATCGCTCTTCCAATCAGTGTAAGAAGTGTTGATCCAGGAAATGGCAGAGATACAACAACATCAATCATCAGAACATCAACAATCATTGAAACAACAACTGATCCATTCAATACAACAACAATTATCAAAGTATCTTCAGGTGGAGTTATCACTTACGTTGAAACAGATACTGAAGTAACTCTCACATTAATCCAAATCGAAACTGAATCAACTGTCATGTTAATTAAGGATTCAAGTGATGAAAACACACCAAAGAAGAAGAACATCGTACCAATCATCGCTGGAGCTGTAGCTGCTTTCTTGGTTCTCCTCGCAATCATAGCTGTGATTGTTTGGGCAATGAAGAATAGAAATGACGAGTCGTCAGAGTACTCGGCGGTCGAAATGGCTGAAGAAACAGTTGTGGCCGCTGCACTGCCATCATCAACACCAATCACTAACGACAACCCTCTTTGGACAACGTCAATCACGAAGGACGAAGACGATCCATTCGCAGAAGACTTCGAAGAAGCAGCGGCAACAAGCTTCTTCAGAATTGCAGATAAGCTCGCTATTTATGATGAAGATATTTAATCTCTCTTTATGTTATATATGTTCAAATTATCTCCGAATTAAAAATTTTATTATAGGTTTTTGTTTATTAAGTCAATATTTAATTACCATTTAAGGTAACATATAACATATTTCATTCCGAAGATAATCTAACTAATATTTGAATGTGAAAAATTTATTGAATCAAAGAATTATTAAAAGAATAAGCAAAACAGATTTGGCATCTGGAGATAAAAATTTTGTATATGAAACTAATACATGGATAAAAAAATTCTCAGATCATTTTATCAAAATTAATGATAATTTCTTATGAACATACTTTGATAAACCTAAATGTAAATTCCTCCCTAACTCAGTTGGTTAGAGTGTCAGACTGTTAATCTGGAAGTCGTGTGTTCGATCCACACGGGAGGAGCTTTTTTTCTTCTTCTAATTTTTTTGTTGTTTTGAAAAACATGCGAAGAGACATTTATACTAGAAACCTGTGCGATTGATAGGCTGTAATGAGAATATTCCTTTCGAAAATATCAGATAAAATGACTTGTTTTGGCCATCTTCCGACTAATATTGAGAAATGCTTGATTATGCGTAATAAAATTTACAAAGACTTGTAGGAATCAATGTAACATTGATGCAATCGATTTTACGATTAAAATTTCCAACTTTGGAGCGTTATTAATTAAATTATCGGGTTTGATTTGTCGGGTCAGGCCAAAAAGAGTCAAGATATGGGACATTCTCTAAAGAAGTTTCTGTATTAAGCTTTACCAACTGAACAGGTAGCAAGTATAAAGTCTGTCAGCATCCAATTCATTGCAATAAAAAAATTAACTGATCTGAAAATGTTTTTACGGGCGTGTATTATTACAATTTTGATATGTTTCCTAAAGCAGAAGAAGTTGAGAAGTCAAATGTTTTGAGCCATTTGAACTTAATCTACGTGAAATTGGACTTCTTTTCTATAGAAGTGTTGTGATCCAGTTTTTATGCTTTAAATTGAGCAATCTCAACATACCAATTATATTCATTTATGTAGTATAACTCATATGAATGTAAAACATAGTAATATGCACATTAATTTGAATTTTCAAATGTCCAAACTTTCAAATAAGTTGTATATTTGCAAATGAAAATGTTTTTTGCATAATTTACAAGCTATATATTTGATTGAACGAATAAAACTGCAAAATCAATAAAATATAAACGAACAAAACATTTCCTTCTCAAGAATGTCTGAAAAAAAGCAGGTAAATCAGGAGGATCTTGAGAAGGAAATCTCACAAATTGTTCAAGATTTTCAGAATATTGTCGGAGAAATCACAGATACAACAAATATACGCCAATTTACGAATATTTATCGACAACTTCATAGTCTTTTAATGGATAGCCATGATAAGAACAACAAACTAACAGCAACAGCTCAAGCATTAAATGCAGAAATTATCGCAAATGCAACGAAAGTATCTGCCCTATTAAAAATGAGTGAAGACGATCATAAAGCAATAGATAAATACAAAGACGAATTTGAGAAAGCTAGGAAGCTGGTTGTTTCATCTCAAGAAAAAGAAATGAAATCTAAAGAGATTTGCGAACAAATGAAAACGCAAGTCGATAAACTTGCAGCAGAAGTTCATGAGCAAAGTGTTTCAGAGGCAAAATACGCAGATATGAAAGTAGATTTAACAAATTTCAAAGATGAACAACAGAGAAACGAAAAAGAAATTAACGTATTACAGCAAGAAATCGAAAAACTCAAAGGTCTTATTGCACAATGCAATGTTTCTCTTGAATCTACAAGAACAGAATCTCAAGCACTCGAAGAATCCATTGAAATCGAAACTGCTGAGTTAGATAAGCTGAAAGAAGCAAAAATACAGTACTACAATCAAATAGAAAGCAATAAAACTCAAAATGATCAAGCAACAGACGAATCAAATGGAATTATAAGGAAAATTTCACAAACCAAAACGAATATTGATGAACTCAGTAGAGATCTCGAATCACAACGTTCCAAACTCAATGAAGCCAAGAACGATTGTAATATATCCGTAATAAAAAAACGAGATCGTCAAGCCAGTCTTGATATTGTTTTAAATCATCAAAATCAAATCACAGAATCAATAGAAAGAGTCAAAGACACAATCAACTCTCATCAGAGAACAATTGATTCCGAGAAAGTACGTGTTAAAGGCATCGATTCCGCCATAGAAGAGTCAAAACAAAGTTTATCCGAAATCACAGAATACAAAGACAAACTTTCAAAAGAAGTCAAACAAGCAGGCAGAGAAAAGAAGACCAACGTAGATGATATCATTAATGTTACTCGTAACTATACTATACAAGACTCCAACATCAAAACAGCATCAAGGAAAGTCGATTCCAATCAAAGAAACATTCAAAATGTAAAACTAAAAATTGACATCGAAAAAGGGACAACAAAAGAACTTAGAGACATGTCTAATCTTGTTGAAATACAAGTAAATGGTGAGAAGAGAGATATTGAAGACTTAAACAGTTACGCGCATTCTCTTGAACAAGAAGTGAAACTATACATGAAACAGGCAGGAGAATCAATTGTAAATACTGTCAGATTTACTGATAATTTAAATATGACACGTGCTGAAATAGAGAGTAGTAATTATTTGTTGCATTCCATTGAGGTACAATCTAAAGATCATGAAAAGATCGTCCAGAACATGAGAAAAGAAAGAGATATTATATCAAACCAAATAATTGGAATTGAAAAAGAAAATGATGAACTTCACAAAAAAATTGATGGCCAACATGAAGAAATCCAAAAGCTGAAGAACTTGGCACAAGAGAAAACATCTGATTGTATTAAAGAACACTTCAAATCAAGATCTCTTGAGAAACAAAATATTTCTTTGGCAGAAATGGCCGAATTAACAAAGAAAATGACTCAAGAAATGAATTCTACAGTGATTAAATACAAAAGTGAAGCAACAAAACTGAATTTGATCATCATGGAATCAGAAAAAGACATAACACATGCAAGTGCAGAACTTAAAAATATCAGTGATGTGATAACAATGTTGAAAAGTCAATTAGCAGAACGTCAAACCGAAATTGACACTCAAAAAGTGAAAGTCAGTTCACTTATGTATGAATTGGATCATAAAGGATTTAATTTCTCAGAGAACCAGAAGAAATATAAAGAAATGGAAGCGGAAATGTCAGCACTCATGGATAAAAACAGAAAACTAAAAGAAAGAGCTGAAGTTTTAACATCTTTGACTGTTGAAAAAATTTCACTTGATTCTGCAATTTTGCACGAAAGAGAAATAAGAAATCGTTATGAACAAGAGCTGATGAGACCGTTGAATGTGCACAGATGGACAATTATGCAGGCAATGAACCCAGAAGGGTATAAACAAATCCAAATGATGCAATACTTGAAATCAAAATTGGAAGCAGTTGAACGTCAAAAAGTGTCACTTTTTGAGAAGAAAAAGAAAATTATTGATGAAATCGAGAAAGTCAAAACACGTGCAAAGAACGCTCGGTTCATTGATGAAGATGTTGCATTTGATAATATAAAGAATTCTCTGAAAAAGAAAGATGAAGAAATGGAAGAAATGAAGAAAGAAACAGAAACAGTGAAAGGTCAAGTTGAAACTCTCAAATCAATGATTGCTGAACTCCGCGATCGTCTTAAAGAAACAAAGACTAAATCATTGGCCATCAAGCAGAAGAATCAATCCTTGAATGGTCCACAGGTTCCTGTTTTGCCAATCAACATGAAACCAGTTGAATTAACAAGATTAGGTGGTGGATTTTCACTTGAAACTCCAAGAATTGCTCAAACAGCAAGACAAGTTGATCTTGATATACAAGAAGAGGAAAGACCAAAAACTTCTCGTGTCAGAAATAATTCAGAAAAAAGATTTAAGAATAAACCGTTAACTGCCAGACAAAAAGCAGATATTGCTGAACAAAGAATAAACTATCCTTATGAGACACAAAGTTCGGCTAGAAGAAGGTCTGAGAGCGAAACAAGAACTCTTGGAAGTGAAAACTCCAATTTCGGAAGAAGAAAAGATCCAGAAACAGATAGTATGACTGTTATGTCATCAAGAAGACAAAGTGAATTATCTTCTGGAAGAAAATCCGATTTTAATGATCAAAATTACTCAAAAAGACAAAAAAGTGACAATGTTCAATTTTCTTTGTCAATTAGTTCATCAAGAAGATCGAATCTTGACGAGTCTCCTTTGTCTTCTAGAAGGTCAAACTTTGATGAAGCCCCTTTGTCTGCAAGAAGACAAAAATCTGGTTTGGAAGATAGTCAAAAAAGTGACAATAATCAATTTTCTATTCCTATCAATTCTGCTCCAAGATCTATTTTGGAAGATGTTACGTTGTCATCTAGAAGACAAAAATCTGGTTTAGATGATAACCAAAAGTCTCCAAAGAGTGAAATTACGCCTCTCAACATTCCAAGTTTTTCATCAAGAAAATCCGCTTTGGAAGAAACTCCTACATCTGCTAGAAGACAGAAAACAACATTAGAAGAGCCAACAACTGCGCGAAGGCAAAATACAGACTTTTCAGCGAGATCTAAAAATAATTCTTCAATTCGAAATAAAAATGAAGATCAAAATGAAAAGATCCGTCGTAATTTGGAAAGTTTACCATTTTCTTCAAGAAGAACTTCATCGTCTTCACAATCAGAACCAAAGATTGAAGAAAAACCACAAACAGCAAGACGTGCTCCAAGTGATTATGATCATTTGAACCTCCCTATGTCATCAAGAAGACAATCTGAGCTTGGAAGAAACACTGAAATCGATCCAATAAGTATTGAAACAACAGATAGTCACTATTCAACACCAATGAACAGTTCGAGAAGACCTCCATCTGCTAGAAGAATTGAAAAGAACTCTGCTGCAGAACATTTATGGGCTCCACAAATTGTACATGAACAAAAGGAAATTGATGAAATTCCGGAGTTAACAATCACATCAGCTAGGAGACAAAAGGCCGAAAAGCTGAAAAGAAGGCCAATGAAGACAGCAAAACGACCAAATTAATATATTCCTCAACCATTTTGTTTGTTTTATTTATAATAATATGTTTTATATTTGTTTGTATATTTTAATTTTATCATTGTTGTATTGTAAAATTAATATTATTTGTTATTTACATAGATTATATTAAGGAATATATATAACAGTTATAAGATCTACTATTTTTTTATAATTTGATCATTTAATATCTTCACAGATGGAATGAAGTAAAAATTTATGTTTCAATAAAGATAAATATTAAATTTATATTTATAATTGAATATTTAAATATTAATCTAAAAATCATATCATATATTTTTAGTACTTATTTTGATGGTACAAATTTTAGATCTCAGAAAACTTAGTAAGCATCTCATTACCTGAAAATAATACGAATCTTATTCTTTTTCCAAATAATCTTAACAAATAATAGTTAATTATATCATATGAGATGATGGATGATATGAAATATTTATATAGATGCTCACTAGGTTTCCTGACGTCCTTTAATAGCTAATAGTATCTTTCTAAAAATAAATGACTAATAAAAAATTTAAATTATTTGACAAAAATATATACAAAGTTTAGTTACAAAAATATGAATATTGTTGTTGGAATGATTGCAAAGAACGTTTGATTTTATCAACGGTTTGCATCTTCGATTCATCTTCATTATCTATGTAGAATGCTTCTTGAATCAGTTCTAATTGTTGAGTACAGTATTTAATTGCACTTGGATTTGAGTTCTTTCTAGCTCTATTTCGATATGTTGTAAATTTACCTTCGAGTTCTCCGAGTTCTTCATCTAAATTCCGTGCATTGACACCTAATCTTGCTCGACTTTCTTCAATTTGTTCATTTGACATCTTTGTCAAATCATTTTCTACTTCAATACTTGGAAGGAATTTGTTAACATCAATATCCATCAACTCTTCTTTTGCATTTTCAATAAATAACTTCTGGAATTTAATATGCAAACAATTTTGTTCATCAACTTGAAATGTTACTTTCACTTTCTCTTCACCAGCCTTCTTACAACCTGATAATCCCCTAACTGAGTACTCTCCGATTTCTCTCGAATCTTCCAAACTTTCACCTTGCAAAATTGGGTATGAAAGTCTAGATTGATTATCATGCAAAGCCCATGTAATTTTTGAAATTGGTTCTGATGGAAGTTTGGTACCTTTCTTTATCATATGACGAAAGTATGGGTGATGATCTCCATGGAATGTTTTAAAACCATAAGTTATTGAAACAGCTTCAATCATCTTCTTCGGAAAACTCCGTGGAACAATTGGTTCAATGCCTCGTGTATTTCTTTGGCTTTGAACAAATTCGAAGAATGATTTTTGAGCAGCACCAACAGCAACTGCTGTCAATGGATCGACTGAGTTCAAAACTTTAATTTGATTGCTTGAAAATTCATCTTCGAGAGCTTGTTTAACATAATAAATCAATGATGTACCACCAACTAACAGAATGTATTCGACTTTGACTTCTTTATGACTGTTTATAAGATTCTTGACAATCTGAATTGTTCTCTTCACAAGAGGATCGACAATATTCTCGAATATACTCCTCATCAACTTGTATTCGATCAAAGTACCACCTTGATTGATAGCAATTGTTGCTGATTGTTTCGTTGTTGCTATGCTTTGTTTAACTCTTTCTGATTCTTCGACAAGACCTCCTTTGATGCTCTCGATATCAATCTTTGGATACTGCTTTTTGATGTATTCGATTGCTTTTTGGAAGATTCCATTATCTATGTCGCGACCACCTAAATGAGCGTCACCATCTTGGTCAATGACTTCGATTTGATCTGGTGAGATTTTGACAAGAGAAAGATCGAATGTTCCACCACCAAAGTCGTAGACAAGAACAGTTCTTTCTTTATCAAGGGAGATTGAGTTAGTGAAGCAAAGTGCGGCTGCAGAAGGTTCTTTGAAAAGGAATATTTTCTCTGGGTTTGGAAATTGTGCAATTCTAACTGCATTCCGAACTTCATCGAGCTGCTTCTGCGTGAAATGAGCAGGAACGGTGACAACAACATGATCAAGAGGATAATTTTTCTTGAGAAGTGTCTCTCGAATGTAATTTAGAATCGAAGCAGATACTTCACATGGCTTGACCTTGATAAGCATCTTGCCGTTGTCAATAGGGATGATAGGATTACCATTAGAATCTGATTTAACATCGAACGTCCATGTTGGAATTTCGTTTTCTAAATCTTTGTATGTTTTTCCGAGCATGCGTTTGCTATCATAAACAACACTTTTCCTGTATTCTGGATTTTTGAGATTCTCGCGTGCAGTGAAACCATATTGATTTGGATGAGCATAAAAAACATATGAAGGAAAAGCGTTTTTACCATTGAATTCGATGATTTCGACTTTACCATCCTTATAAGCTGCTGCACTGCAATATGTTGTACCAAGATCAATACCAATAAATGTATCAGTCATGAATTTAATTTAAATAATTTTTTTTCCACCATTTATTTTTTCCACAATTTTTACGACTTTTAATTCAATCGACTTCAAATATATGAAAATTAAGGTGATTTCACCGGATTTACGACTTTTAATGAAGTGGATGTAAACATACGTTTTTAAACACGCTGTTAAAACAATTCAAATTTTAACATTTATCGATAATTTAATCAAAGGTTGAAAGTTACAAGCTCTCAATTTTCGTCCCTTTTGTACGTTTATTATAATTGTAGCATATTGTCATCAAGCACGCGACTAACCAGCAAAGACGTGTCCTCTAATTCCGTCCCTAGTTCAAAAATCTGGAACTATTTAAGCAAAAACATTCGATTTCAAAATCAAGCATTCTTTATTCAACGAGTAAAACATTAAAGTATGATTTGTCATACACGGAATAATGACAAGCTCTTAGAGTATGTTTAGTACAGAGTTACTGCCAACTTGAGTTCTTGAATTTGGTAAGTTAGAACAAAAGAAGCCATATGTCGCATCTAAGGACTTGTACTTATCAGAGTATTACTAAATGTTTAAGAATGTTAGTTATTCGTCCCAAACTCGTACGTTTCCACGCGAATCTTGATAATAAATATACTATTTTGGACTTTTTGCAATAAATCTCTTTTTACCACATTAGCATATCTGTGTGTATGCTACTTAACCTCTTTAGAGACCATTAAGATAATGTTTTTTGATACTTTTTCAAGACTATGCCATAAAGTAAACGAATAATTTACAAAATGATATTAAAAAATTTAATTTTATTATGCTTTTATAAATATTGAGACTTTTTAGGACTATTTTAAAAATGTAAATAGATCAATCATTTTAATATTAGATAAGATAATCTAAAGACGTCAGATGTTTCAATAACTTCAGATCAATGACTAATATGAAATTTAAGATTTGTGTTAATTTAAGAATTAACAATGGAATCTGGTTTAGAAAGATGGAAAGCATAGAGAATCTAAAGGATAAGAGAGATTAAATACAAAATGCTGCATAAAAAGGCAGATCAGTGAGAAGAAATCATGAGGTTAAAAAGGAACATTCAAATTAGAATATAACATTGCATATTACAATATTAATATTAAAGATAATACTGCACATCATTGTGCAATTACACTATTTTAAATATTTTCATAAATAATGACTTACAAGTTAAAAAAATGTAGAATTAACTGCATGATCCAATATTGGACCGAATGTATGTTTGAATCTATAACTGAATTCATTAATGACAAAAAAGTGACTCTATAACTGAGTATCTGGCTGACAATATGCCTGAAAGTTTGAATGTGTCTAGGAATATAACTGACAGTTTGAGTGACATTTTGAATGAGGGTTTGGTTGTCAGTATAACTCAAGGTTTGAGAGAGAATATGACTCACAGTTTGACTGACAATATGACTTAGAGTTTGAGTGACAGTATGAACAACAGTTTGGGTGATAGTATGAACTACAGTATGACTGAGAATATGACTGACGGTTTGACAGCCTCTATGAATTAGCTTTTTAGTTAGAATAAGACTGACAGTTTGACTGACAATATGACTGACGGTTTGACTGACAATATGACTGTTGATTTGAATGAGTGTATGATTGACAATTTGGGTGACAATATGACTCATAGTTTAAGAGAGTGTATGACTAATGGTTTTAGTGAGAATAAGACTGATAGTTTGACTGACAATATGACTTACGGTTTTATTTAGAATGCTTCTGTGTATGTGTGGCGTGAGTTAGCATCGGGTGGTTGCGTGATAGAATGCTTCTGTCTATGTGTGGCGTGAGTTAGCATCGGGTGGTTGCGTGATAGAATGCTTCTGTGTATGTGTGGCGTGAGTTAGCATCGGGTGGTTGCGTGATAGAATGCTTCTGTGTATGTGTGGCGTGAGTTAGCATCGGGTGGTTGCGTGATAGAATGCTTCTGTGTATGTGTGGCGTGAGTTAGCATCGGGTGGTTGCGTGATAGAATGCTTCTGTGTATGTGTGGCGTGAGTTAGCATCGGGTGGTTGCGTGATAGAATGCTTCTGTGTATGTGTGGCGTGAGTTAGCATCGGGTGGTTGCGTGATAGAATGCTTCTGTGTATGTGTGGCGTGAGTTAGCATCGGGTGGTTGCGTGATAGAATGCTTCTGTCTATGTGTGGCGTGAGTTAGCATCGGGTGGTTGCGTGATAGAATGCTTCTGTCTATGTGTGGCGTGAGTTAGCATCGGGTGGTTGCGTGATAGAATGCTTCTGTGTATGTGTGGCGTGAGTTAGCATCGGGTGGTTGCGTGATAGAATGCTTCTGTGTATGTGTGGCGTGAGTTAGCATCGGGTGGTTGCGTGATAGAATGCTTCTGTGTATGTGTGGCGTGAGTTAGCATCGGGTGGTTGCGTGATAGAATGCTTCTGTGTATGTGTGGCGTGAGTTAGCATCGGGTGGTTGCGTGATAGAATGCTTCTGTGTATGTGTGGCGTGAGTTAGCATCGGGTGGTTGCGTGATAGAATGCTTCTGTGTATGTGTGGCGTGAGTTAGCATCGGGTGGTTGCGTGATAGAATGCTTCTGTGTATGTGTGGCGTGAGTTAGCATCGGGTGGTTGCGTGATAGAATGCTTCTGTGTATGTGTGGCGTGAGTTAGCATCGGGTGGTTGCGTGATAGAATGCTTCTGTGTATGTGTGGCGTGAGTTAGCATCGGGTGGTTGCGTGATAGAATGCTTCTGTCTATGTGTGGCGTGAGTTAGCATCGGGTGGTTGCGTGATAGAATGCTTCTGTGTATGTGTGGCGTGAGTTAGCATCGGGTGGTTGCGTGATAGAATGCTTCTGTGTATGTGTGGCGTGAGTTAGCATCGGGTGGTTTCATCACAAATTTTAACCCATCCAAATCTTATTAATTATTAAAATTCTTTTACAATTTCTGATGTATTTTTTGAAAACATTTCATATGCAATATTTCTCCTTTTCTTTCCTCAAATCTTCAAATATTAATAACTTTGGATATGAAATTATTTGGATCTTTTATGAATTTTAAATGTCTTTCTTAATATCAAATCGATTAAATTATTAATATTTTCTAAATTATGCCTTAAAAATCCAAATATAAAAAATCGTAAATAAAAAATATATTTTTTATTTTTATTTTGTAAATAATCCGTTTACTAAATGGGACTGTATCATGAAAGTAACAAAAATCATTATTTAACAAGATTCAAAACTGGCGCAACGAAATGCACATTGATTTTGTAGTGTAACAAAGAGAGATTTATTGTAAAAAGTACAAAATAGTATATTTATTATCGTGATTAGCGTAGAAATGTATGAGTTTGGGACGGATTTCTGGTGCATTCATAACTAAAGTGATACATTGTCTGGAGCAAGTTCAGATCTTTAACTTATGGCTTGTTTGGTGCTAACTCACCCAATTTAAGTGCACTAGAGGGGATTTTGTCTGTAATGAGCATGCACCTTGAGTTGTTGCTTGGTCCGTGTACGAAAGATAGTAATTTAATACTATACTCGATTAAATGTGAATTTCTAATTTTGAATTTGCGTTTTTTCCTGAAAATAGTTACAATATATGAAAGAGTTGGCAAAACTAGAGGACACGTCTTTAAGGGTTTGGCTCGTGCTTCATGTTAATATGCCGAAACTAAAATAAACGTATATTGGGGGTCGAAAATTGAGAGCTCATATCTTTAAGTGTTTAATCAAATCAGATGTTTAGGATGATTAAATTCATTTCAGGACATAGGTAGAATCCCTATTGGCTCTTAACAAAAAAAGTATCGTTTTGAAATCCTACAACAACAAAAAAAAATTCAATCTAAAATAATTATCATGGTTTTAAAAATAAAATTAGAAATAAAATAGTACTTGTTTATAATCTTTCATGAAAATCATCGAGATCAAATCCAAGAGATTTAAGATATTTTGCCATTTGGCATCTGCGATCAAGAGTTCCATCTGCTCTCATTATTACTCTCAAACTTTTCATATGGTTGATATCCAAGCCCTTGAACATTTCTGTCATCTGATCGACATCAATTCTATGCTTTGCTTTGTAGAACAAGCCCATATTAGCAAGGCTGCTTGCAATGTTACTTCTCTCATTCAATCTGTATTCATTTCCGTTAAGCAGTATTAACTTTTCTGGTGGAGGTTGAGGTTTTGACATTTTGCTCGCGTCCATTTGATTGCTGGTGTTTGGGACATTTGGATATGGTGATTTATTTGAGAAATCATATGTGTTAAACCCAAGAGAGATAAGGAACTTTCCCATTTCGCAAGAATCGTCTAAAGTTCCATTTGAAAGAAATGTAGCATTCCTAGTTAGCATGTAGTCCAAATTCATGCTCTTAAACTTCTTTGTAATGTCAGAGACATCAATTGAGTCTTGAGGAGTATAATAAAGTCCAAGTTTATCTAAACAAATTCCGTAGCTGCTTCTTTGATTTAGAGTGTACTTGTTATTCAATAATACTATTAAATCACTGGGATCCTTGTTCCCAAATAGTGAAAAAAGTATATAAAACATCAGTCAAATAAAATAGCGGTTTTCGTGAAAATTTGAATGCGAAAACTGACTTTGCCAAAGGGCACTTGATTTTAATAGAACATGTTTTATCTCACCTAAAAATTCGTTAATGGTGGCAGTCCCTCTATTTTTTTATACGTTAGCACGCAGATCTCAGTGAATTGTGGATCCAGGCCTGAAAAACCTTCAAATAACAGATAACGAAGGCTAAACAACTTATAAAATGCAAAAATACGATATTTTTAATCCTAATTAAACTATTGTTTAGATTGCAAAGCAAAAGAGTCGTATTTTACGTTTTGTATGACATCCTTGGCATGTACTCTCTTTGTTTGTTTGCATTTGATTGCGATACTCTCGAGTTTCGTACTTCGAGCACCGCATACCAAATTCGCCAATGTTCTTGAAGTTGGAGTGAAGACCTCAAGCATGCCGGAAATTTGAGAGCTTCCAAAGACCCAAATGCAGGTAGACAATCCTGGAAGATGATAGTTTCTATCTGTGTGGCGGAAGGCTGAGTTAGAGGCACCTACTACCATTGGAAAGCCAATCTCAGTCCCATTTTGGATATGGCAACCGTGGTCAGGGATGAAATTTCATTTAATTTTTTGACATCGTTATAAGCTTTTTAGAATCTGCATAGTTAGTAGGTTCTATTTTTACGCTTAAATTAAACTCGATAGTGCAATTGTGGATTTGAGGGGAAAATAATCGTACTACCGAGTATTTTCCCGCACTATAGCAATAAACGTTTCTGAGCAGAGCATTATATGAACGATATAAGATGTTATGAGCTTGTGTGATGAAATTCAGTCTTTTTTTCAAACGAGGATTGCTAGGAGAAGTGTTATAGACCGAAAATAGATTTTTTCGGTTTTCTCTTCAAATAATTGAAAGAATGATACTATTATAGGTTTATTATATTATATAGCATATAATCATGCTATAGCCGAAAATTATAAGTTTTGAGAAGATTGAATCTAACACAAATAAATTTGAATGTAAGTTAAATTGCTTGTTGTTTTTAATAGCTATTTAATGAGAAATCCAATATTGCAAAATTCAAATTGAATGATTGAAAGAACAGAAAAAGTCATTCTTTTCAATTTCGAATATGTTTCATTGTATTTATAATTATATGGTAAATAAGATATTTAAACTTGATTTTTGAAGGAAAATTCACAAAATTGAATAAATTCAAATAATTTTTATCCAAAAATAAACTAGTTATTTGAGTTTAATACTAATTATCTATTCAAACTACAAAGTTTGTAATTTAAAATATTTTGTGAGATCAGATTGAATTAATTCAAGGTTCTTTTCAATTAATATTAATGACCATATTACGCATTTTCGAACATTCTAAACCAAATATATAAAAATGGGAGACGAATGTTAAATTTGCTAGACATGGGGGAGTTGTCTGCAAAGTTTTAGCTCTTATCTCTAACAAAAAATTAATTTTTAAAAAAATGACCGAATACGTTTCACAGCGAGAAAAAAATAAAAGGCAAGATAGAATTTTCTAGACATAAAGAAGTTGTCTACCACGTGTCAGCTGTTACTTCTTCTCAATACTGATATAAAATAAAAATCTTTATTATTTATTTAACCTTTATTGTTTCATTAAACTTCATTTATTTTATATTATAGTTTTATTCTTTTAGCTACTTGTAAAATAATCTAATTTTATATCATCATTTTACCGGATTATTCTTCAGTACATCGATTGTGTATCTAAAATAATATCATTATCCTTATTCTGTTTTTTCCAAAATTCTTTTAAATATCTTTTTTGGTTAGATTACTTTATACTTTTTACTTTTATTTTTTAATTTCAAAAAAAATTTGGTGATTGTTCTATTCTGTTACAATGTGCATTATCATATTCTAATGAATTATTCATTACATACATTTAAAAAAACTTGTTAAAAATGAAATTAAAAAATTATGTTTATTATTACGCTGTGAATGTGTCAACAGCGGTCATGCCTGTATCTGTATCCCATATTTTCCACAACCTTTCTGTATCTGCATTTGTGTATTTCGGTTTCAGCTGATACATTTGATTTGGCGTGTAATTTGTTCCAGTTAATGGATTAATTGGGAGATCTTCATGCGGTGTGTTATTATTGTACTCTCAAATAAAGGCAGGAATAGCCTGAATGCTTTGGCAGCGCTCCAATGTCGGCCAGAATCTCTCAATCTTCCCATTTTGGTAGGGAGAATGAGAGTCTGTATGCCGCCATTGGACGCCCCAAAGATCAAGTAGATCTTGAAAGGCGCCCCTATTTTCTGAACCGTTGTCGGTCCAGAAACAATAAGGGGCGCCAAATTCAATGAAGGCGGAAGCCGCAACGTTCGCTGTCGTCGCTGCCAGCATATCTGGTATTTGTATACACGCTAGGACTTTGCGGCTAAAATCGTCGATTATGCCATAAATATACTGGCCACGAACACCCCTAAAATAATGAACATCTGCGTGCCAGATAAGATTGGGTGAAAGCGCCCAATATCTTACTGCTGTTTCTGGCCCGGCATGCTCTAATCGCGTCTTGGTGAAATGATTTTCTTTGAAGTATCTGCGTACTTCTCTATAAGATACATCAATTTGTTGTAATTTCAAACGTTTCCATTGTTTTGTTTGACCACAGGGAAAGGCCCAGTGGTCATGTATCACAGCAAGAGCTTTGATTTGGTCGTAGGGATTGACCCTACGACCTTTCTTGCCTTTAGGCAATGGGATATTCTGTAAGCTAAATTGATTTTGTAAAAAAGATTTTGAAACATCTAAATATTTGAAATCATTTGATTGAAGGGTTGGGGCGATGGGAACATGGGTTGCAAGCTTCTTTCCCCATGTCATTTTACCTTCTTCCAATCTGATTGGAAATACCAATTAGGTAAATTCGATCGACATACCCTTTGTAAGGATTCATTCTAATGAAGTACGTTAACAATCAAAATATTCTATAAGTGTCTAGTATGGAATTCAAAAGAATAAAGAAAATGGTAACGTAAATAAACGTATTATGAATAATTTATAATTAAAATGAAAAAAAGAAAAAATAATAAGTAAAGTGATTGGAAATGAAAAATGAAAATCAGTGTACAGTTTTATTTTTCTCGCTGTGAAACGTATTCGGTCATTTTTTTTAAAATTAATTTTTTGTTAGAGATAAGAGCTAAATCTCGGTAAACAACTTCTTTATGTCTAGAAAATTCTATCTTGCCTTTTATTTTTTTCTCGCTGTGAAACGTATTCGGTCATTTTTTAAAAATTAATTTTTTGTTAGAGATAAGAGCTAAAACTTTGCAGACACATCCCCCATGTCTAGCAAATTTACATTCGTCTCCATTTTTATATATTTGGTTTAGAATGTTCGAAAATGCGTAATATGGTCATTAATATATAATTGAAAAGAACCTTGAATTAATTCAATCTGATTTCACAAAATATTTTAAATTACAAACTTTGTAGTTTGAATAGATAATTAGTATTAACACTCAAATAACTAGTTTATTTTTGGATAAAAATTATTTGAATTTATTCAATTTTGTGAATTTTCCTTCAAAAATCAAGTTTAAATATCTTATTTACCATATAATTATAAATACAATGAAACATATTCGAAATTGAAAAGAATGACTTTTTCTGTTCTTTCAATCATTCAATTTGAATTTTGCAATATTGGATTTCTCATTAAATAGCTATTAAAAACAACAAGCAATTTAACTTACATTCAAATTTATTTGTGTTAGATTCAATCTTCTCAAAACTTATAATTTTCGGCTATAGCATGATTATATGCTATATAATATAATAAACCTATAATAGTATCATTCTTTCAATTATTTGAAGAGAAAACCGAAAAAATCTATTTTCGGTCTATAACAGATTGCTAGGAGAAGCTCTCACAGAAAATAGTATTGTGACCATAAAAATTGATAAAAAAAGATTGTTGATAATATCTAGAGTTTTGTGTGTGTAAAATGTAATGATCGATAATAGAGGTAGGGCAACGATAGAAAATTTTTGGAAAAAAAGTTCGGAGATCTTAAACGTATCATATTCCCTGCATGGTTTGGTATCTTCCGCCATGCGTTGTGCCAAACATATTGACACTTTCCAATAATTAATTTATGGTATGAGTCACAGAGTTAGATTATAAAAAGAAAGTAAATAATTGCAATTAGAAATCATATATGTCGGAAATCAAATGTTGATGAGCAGAAACCTTTTACTCATCATAAAAGAGATAAATCACTAAAGATTTGTATACATTAAAATTTGATATTTGGTGCTCGAAAACTGTCTGATGGGACTCCTCCAAAATGAACCAATCTATCGCTGAGGACCAAATTAGATGATGTGGATGGTGTATTCTCTAATTCTAACTTAGGAAGAATGGGAACAAAACGAATGACGACAACAACATGTCAAACATAGATTAAATATCTATGAATCAATAAAGTATACGTGCATTGAAGGTGATAACGATCACTTGAGGCTTATAACTCTTTGACTAAATTATGCAATAATTAAATATAATCATTTTTATATTTTTATACTGATAGTAATTAATATACTATCCTGCTTAATAAATGGTATGATCAAATTTGTTTGAAAATTTAATTATGTATATGAAACTATGTCTTCTATATAAAAATCAAAATTTTCGGACGAACCTAGATTGAAGCTTTATGAAAATCTATCATTTTTGTTAATTGAGTTAATATGAATCTTTTACATATGTATATATAGCATTGATAGCTTATATAATCATGGTTTATTCCATATTAACATATTTTTTCAGTTAAATTTGTTAATAATATCATGTAACAAATTAATTCAAGATTAGAATGTCTACAAAATGCTAACAAATAAGAACAAAATACGATTTCTCGACTTAAATTTTAATATGGAGTAGTTTTTCGTTTAAATCAAATTAAAAATGAATAAAAACTGATCTTGTACTATTTTCATTCAAAGATTTTAATAATGTAAATCATGCATTTTCATAATTCAGTACAGTTCTTTTTAGAATTAAAGTTGATAAGGATGATATTTGTGATTTAAAATAATTTGTTAATGTTCACCTTTTATTCATCACCTTGTGGTATGCCCTAAAGCAATAGCATTATCAATTCTGCTGAATTGATCAACTCAAAATTCCAAAAAAAATTCAAAATTTCAAAAATGAAATTAAACAATTTGAATTTTCACATGAAAAAATCAATTTCGAAAAAAATTTGGAAAATCAAAGTCTTTGATAATTAGTCAAATAATCAATTTACATCGTTTTTACTCATAAAAAACAACTAATTTTTGATTTTGATATCATATTTGATAAATACTCATTCCAGAGTTGACGTAATGTATTAATTATTGGTTATTATAGTGCCAGACAACACAAGATTTCAAAGAATTACTTGAGTTTTCAATTAATCTTAATCCGATTTTAGATTTATCGAGAACTCCATCATCACAATCACATACTTCAGTGCGGTAACTACAATTATCCATATACAGAAGGAAGTTCTTTTCGAACAACTCATTTGGAGTCTGTTTTGGAAAGAACTTCTTTCTGTCCGACTTAATTTCATAGTTCCTGATCAACCAAAAGACAGAAACCACACACTATCTACTTAGGAAAGGAGTTCTTTCTAAATCTTCCTTAAATTGAGATTTTACGAGAGATAACCCTTCTATTGCACTTAAAAATGAACATTTTGATATCTTTAGTATCACACATGGTCATATATAGTATTTCATCTACATGAATACATTCATCTTTCGAAGTCTCTCATTAAATGGGAGGCTTCGAAAGATGAATCGTTTTATTCATACAACTTTAAATCTCGAACACATTTAGAGAGTGAGTATATCATTTTATTCTTGTTTTGAGTTTATTCTGATTCAAAATTGCAGTGAAAACAAAAGTTCACACATCATATCTGAATGTGAGCTCATCTATACTTATACAATCTCAATACCTCCACTCTAAGCATAAGAGGTGAAGTTATATAAAAATTATCAGATGCGTTGAAGTCTCAAAAGTATTGCCTGAATGCTTGTTTCATATTTGTCCAAGTAGTTTCAATGAATAAATGTATTGTTTTTTATAATTTCGATTTATTTTTAGAAAATATTCAATATAAACCTTTATTGTGTTATTTACATCTCATAAATTCTCTGTCTAAATCATATAAAAGCGCGTTTTACCCCTATGAATCAAGAAATTCATTCAATATTCATGGTATATTTATTAAATTTATACGATTTACTAATAATCAATATTATATCCTCATAAATAGCAATATATTTTGGTAATCTATGATAATCATATACAATATTTGAAATCAAATTTTCATTAGTTTAGGTTCCTTGTTAATAGTAAACCATTATATTTATTACTAATAATAAAATCTATGTGTCGTATTGAAATTCAATAAAATTACTTATTCGGTCCAAAAAAACAAATTAGATAAAATTTTTCTTTTTTTATGTAATTTTTGTTTTTCATTTTTCTCAAGATCCTAAGTTATGTTCTAACTTTTGACATCATATCCTATCATGCTAGGCGATATATAATAGCATATCCAAAAGGCAAGGAAATCTATCAGAGAAGCCTTTTTGACCTATCGTTGCCCTACCTCTTCGATAATGTAAACATTGAATTTTTTTTATATAAAAATTTTTTATAAAAAAATGGGATTCAAAGTTCCATCACAGGCTGATGTCCAAAGAGTTTTGGACTTGACAAAAATTATTCTTCCATTCCCAATTGTCATCTTCATCATTGTATGCTTCCTCAGAATGAATGAAGTTCAGAAAACTTTTACATTCTTGATCATCCTCATTACAATTTTCCATGGTATTAAGATTTATGACACAATCAACACAAGCAAGATCGTTTCTGATCCACTTTACAAGCGTATTTGGCTTTCATTCGATCTTCACTTCTTGATTTTCGTTTTTGCTGTCAACATCTCTGGCCTTCGTCCAATCCTCTTCTTCATTGACATCCTCGTTATCGAAATATTGAACTTTATCCGCGTTATTCGCAATCAGCTTGCTCCACGCCTTGGAGACCTTAAGCAGCAGGTCACAGATGCTTGTGATGCATGCATTTCCAACCAGCTCATCCAGAAGTGCCGTGCTTGCATTGAAATCTTACTTATTCCTTATTTCTTCTTTGCCTCCATCTTCACATTAAGATCCGAAGTCTTCATTGCATTCCTCTTCTACTTCTTAGGATTTGCTGCCTTCCAGCTTGTCGCTGAATACTTCCACAAGTGGGCATGGCATCAAGTTCGCGAGCTTCTTGTCAAGTACGCCGTTAAGTACGTCCCAGAAAACAACAAGATCAAGGTCCTCAACATCTTGGACGACATGAAGGTCATCCCAGACTACGTCAGAAAAGTTTATCCAGTTCCAGAGAGCTTCGCAGATACAATTAAGATCCACTTCGACTAAATTACTTAAATATTATCTCTACATGCAATTTTTTTATTGATACATCTCAGATTGTTATATTCAATAAATATTTAACTTGAAATCACCTCAATCTTGATGTGTATTGCAGTCTGATGTTAGTGGAGCAAACCTCGAAGTGATACTTTGCCAAAGAGTAAGATACTGGAAAAAGTGGAAATTGATATACAGAAAGTATTGATTATGACTGTGTTATTTTAATATACCCTCGATGAAGTTCGATATTTAATAACTTTTATGCTTCAAATTTGTAAAAACCGAGTAATTTTATGAAATGTTTTTCAAAACATTTAATAATCAATAGAAATAATAAAAGGTATATTTATTGACTGTTATTTTGATTCGCCCATTCAAATAAACGAAAATTGACAAAACAATGAGAATTTATTAGTTTCATCATAAATAGATAATATTCGTTTAAAAAATTAAATTTTAAAGGTGGTGATGTCAATCTAAATATCGTGCTAATGGCGGTTTTGTAAAGTTGCAATTTGATTTTCATGCCAAAACCTAAAGCATTCAAAATCATTTGTACTTACCGTCACCCCGGGCAAGCGCGCATCAAAATGGTGTATTGCAACGAGACTGGTGCATTTCTCTCTGCTCCGCAGGAAATTGATAACGATGAATATATTAAACACATTCATTTATTACAGCAACAGGCAAATGCTGCTCACAGGCCGAGACATAAAGCTGTAATGCAAAAAATCTCGCCGAAACCGGATATTACAGTTGATTCAGAAATCGATACGAAAATACAGAGTTTAGAGGAACTTTCTCTTGACCCTGATAATACTACGTATCCTACTGTATTCGAGCATAACATATTTGATGAATATGACGAAGCTCCTCCTTTTCAGAACATTAATGATCTTTTCTAGGATTAGGAACGTGCTTTTTAGATATATATGGAGAGCCATTCCAACCTATCCACTCATTTTAGGGTGGGAGATCAACTCTTAAAAGAAGCCTAAGAGGGTTAACTTTTTCAAGTAAAATATATAATTATTTTATATGTTTGTCAATCTACTGATCCAATTCTAATTGGATTTCTCTTTAATTTTTTAGATTTTTTTTGTGTCGAACAAAAATTTGGTTTGTTATGTTGTTTGTTATGGATAGATGTGTTTGATTTTAAAATTGAAGTAACACCTGATCTATTATTCTTTGTTAACAACCTAATTAAGATAATCATTTTAAAAATTTCGATTTTTTGTGTTGATGAATGTTTCTATTCTCGAATGAAGTGCATGAGGTGTAACTAAATGTTGTGGTGTGTCTGATGGATTTGATGTTAGAGAGGTCGCCTCTAAATTTGGCATTCATCAAAAAATTTTAAGATCTGTGGAATTTTTAACTTTGATTGACTATTTAAATGTTATAACAAAGATTATCTGATTTTATTTCTTAACACATTAGTGGCAATATATGCAATGAATTCATGCCAATCTCTGAGACAGAGGAAAATTTCCCCAGAAAATTTAGCCAATTCAATTGTATTGCTCAATATTATACCAATTCTGTAAATACCTCATAATAAATGACAGAATAAGTTATGGATAAAAAAATTAATTCTGAGCATTTCAATTTTTTATAGAATAAAAAAAATCTCAATATCTATATTAAAAAGAAGCAACATAAGAATGAAAATATGCAAGATATATTTACCTCACATTTTACGATGATTTATGCCAAGAATTTAATGAAATGAGCTTCCATTTTATCAATTCAAGAATTCTTCGAATAAGGTTACGCATTTATTAAGCATATTTATTTTCCCTCTTGAATATCTTATTGTTTTCGATCTTTCATGATCTCTCAACGCCATTTTATGAAACTGAAATAAAGTTTTCAAACCACATCAAAAAGTGACAAGATGTTCGGTGAAAATTTTGTGCTTTCAATATTTTTTTATGCTAAAACTCTTTAAAATTACTCTAATAGAGCATGGTAGAATCGAATATGAAATAAAATTTAATTTTTCTAAAGTACAACTTTCCATCGGAAATTTTTGCCACAATCATTTTTATGAAGCGCTTTTTTGGAAAGAAGAAAGAAGAAGTTCAGCCACAAGTTAATCTAGAAGATACATCCAACCTCTTAGGAAAGAAGAGCGAGGATATTGATAAGCAAATTGCAGATATTAACAAGAAATTAAGTGAAATCACAAAACAAATGAAGATGCCATCAAATAAATCACGTCTTCCAACACTCAGAAGAAAAGCTACCGAACTACTTAAACGTAGAAAGATGTACGAAAACTTCCAAGGCAAAATTGACGGACAAAGATTTAATATCGACAACATGGCTTTCCAACAGCAACAAATTAAAGTAAATATTGATACTGTGCAAGCAATGAAGCAAAGTAATGCAGCAATGAAGCAGACAATGAAACAATTTACAGTTGAAGATGTTGATGACATGGCATTGGATATGGAAGATATGATGGCTGAATCCAATGAGATTTCTGATATATTATCACAAGGAATTGGCAATGATATCGATGAAGGAGAACTCGAAGACGAATTAGCAGCTCTTGAGGCAGAAGGCTTAGACGAAGGAGAGTTAGATATGGAAGGTATTGATGAACCGGGCGGAAAGACACCTGAGAAGGAAACTTGGTAAAATAATTTTAATAAAATTTATTTGTTATTCATAATGAAGCTATTAAATATCCCAAAAATAGTTGCTATATATATTATTCTATAATTTTAATGTTCAACCCTTTCAATTTTTTTGAGTCAGAAACAATATTGTTATTTTCTGAATTGATCTAAAATATATACTAATCTTATTTCTAATTTCTAAACACATATGATGAAAGCAGTTGCTACTCAGATAATGGAAAAACCTTACAAAAGTAAATGATACTTATCCAGATCTCTTAGCATCGGTTAGTTGCGAGTTAATCTCAAACGATTGCTTTCGAGATCTTATTTAGTTTAACCAATGATAATCTATCTTTTATTAATCTACAATAATGTCTAAAGCTTAAAGAAATATCATTTGGAGCTTTTGTTAATTAATTGCAGCAATATCAAAAACATCTTTTTCCAAGTGAACTCCTTAAAACTTGATTTAGGATTTAGTAGAAAGTATATTACAATCCCTGCATCTGTTCAATATGTTTATTATCTAGAAGATTCAGGAATCTCAAGAAGACTTTTTATAATTTGTCATATTATTCATGAAACAAATAATATAAAAACAATCAAATGATCTTGAATAAGTTCAGCAAAATTCTTTTTAGAGTCCCCAAATTAAATAAAAACTCTATTTTGTTAAGGCTTAACTTTCGCCCATCTGACAACTGGCGTGAAGATTAATTGAAAATTAACCTTAAGCTTTTGAATTGCAGGCCACCCTTAATTGTAAATTATTATTATTATTTTTTTTGCCATTAATAATTAAAAGCCTGCAATAGAAAAACACATGCCAATATCAATGTAAAAAAAAGTGGAAAAAAGTGGAAAATTGAGGTAAATTTGCTCGTCTTTTTTTACTTTTTTTCATTATAGAATGATCCGTTTTATAGAGTAAAGAAATTTTTTGAAGGATTACTATATTTGTTTGAAAGAATGACAAAAATATTTTGTTTTCACGGTCATGGTAAAAAGATAAATTAGAGTTAATACAATAATGCGGAATTGGAACTTTAATTCAACATATTTAGCGCCTACGATATATAATTCTGATATTTAATTGTGATTTAATTTCTGCACTAAATTTTATATTTTTAGGATTAAAATAAAAACCTGGACATCCTTCAACTGCATAATGAGAAATAAATGAATCTAATGGATCACCTGATTCAAATGTACCTGAAAAACCAACTCTTACATTTTGACTGATATCATTATTATTAAGGCTCCGGTCCCACCCTCTCAATTTTAAAAGTTTTAATATCTCCACCAATATGAGTTTTTGATACTTTTATTTTAGTACATAATATCATTATGTAATACACTATAGTATAGTATATTTAAACTGAGTATTACTATTATAGTTCATCTTATCTGAGAATTCGGTATTTTGACAAATTTCAACTTTGACCGGTAAAACTATTTATAATCAAAAAAGCCCACAACATTTTATAGCATATTAGTGATACATTATATTGTTATTAGTAAACTTGATTTACAATCTCTTCTAGATGAGTAATTTGTTTTTTTGAAAAAATCTGACAAATCACTTTTTGACAGAATCTAGATATTTTTGATTTGTGAAAGTTTTAATAATATGATAAGGTTTATATATGCTATCATAATATAATAAAATCATATAATGTTACATTATCGCTATATATGTCGAATATTAAAAAATTGTATATTAACATTTTTTGTCATATCTTGATAATAAAGAAAAAACTCTCAGTTCCCCTTCGACAAATTGTTAGAATGCAACTAAAGTTTATTTTGATATAGTGAGTTTGCTTCTAAAAAATATATGAAAGAAGAATTAGATTTGCAAGACCCCTATAAAAAACCATTTTTGCGTCGAGAATAACTTCATGCACGATTAATTGATATGATAATAAAAATCATATATGATAATTACTTAATATAGGCAACAATATTGTATTAATCACTTTTTGTCAAAACGGTTTTTCGATAATTGAGTATTCAATTTTCCAAAAATCCATTCAATAATTTGATTTATAATTCAACGTATAAGAAAAAACTCTCAGTTCCCCTTCGACAATTTGTAAAGAAAATTATATAGTTTCTGTCGACACTATTTGTATATTCTACCTTCTTCGGTATTTCAAAGAATTAGGTTTGCAAATTTGATATTTTTGATGTATTTATTCAAATTGAGAGTATTTTTGACGATAGAAGTAGGTGTTTTTTGAATTACAATTTTATATTGATGTGCATGATAAAAATTTGAACTTATATTATGGTGACATAGTATAAGTCATAATGTATTAATATACAAAAGATATTATCAAAAAATTCCTTTCCAATATGTATAAACAAATCGATTTTTTAAATTAAATTTAAACCTTAAACTCAATATATTAAAAAGTGACATTATTTTAATTAGAAGTACAAAAATCCATAGTCATAGAATTATCAAATGATTGAAAATTGTTATAATTGGGCACATTATACTCATTTATGAATTTACTATACTATATACTTTGCAAATTTAAAAATCCAAATTTTCAATTTTTAAAATATCATTATTTATCATATATCAAATAGTAAAGTTAGTATATATCATGTTTAAAACGATAATATAGTCAAATTCGAAAATTTTAAAAATAGATAATATTTAATTTTTACAAAATATTGGTATATGTGCAATCTATTGGTATATTTTTACTCCTTATTAGACACTCGTCCTAACTATATGCAGTAATCATGCAGGACCGGAGCCTTAAAGTAACAATTATCAATAGTTGGTTTTTCTGAAAATAAATAGTTTCCTTTATTTCCTATGAATGAACAATTTGAAAATGTACATGAGCCATAACACCTTATTATTGCATCAGTAGAAAATTCTCCTCCTTGACATTCATTGTTTAAATAATTACATTTTGTAATATTGTAATTACCTTCATAATGGGAAATTACACCCTGAAATGAAGATGATGAATTTGATGCTGTTGTGAAATTAATAATAATTACTGCTCCTCTTGGATGATCAATTGCATATGCAGCATATTCAGTAATTTCATAGTGATAAGATGTATTCATATTACTTACTTTGATATCTCCAAGATAATGATAAAATGCACATGCAACTCCACTGCATTGTGATACTGAACACTCAAATGCATAATTTTTGTGGGTACTATCATCAGGTGAATGAATTTCATATGCACATCCACCACTTTCGCTTGATGAAAATAAACAACAAATATGAACTAAGACAAAATCTGATTTTTTGATATAGAATGATCCACCTTCTTCTTTGCAACTATTGTTGTAAAATGAGCATGTTTCAATTAATACTTTGTTATTAGAATTAAGGTAAATTGCTCGATTTTGGTAATGGAAAGAAAATACTGCATCATGAATGTAATATTTGCCACTCCCTGATATAGTCTCGTTCTCTGTTTTGTTGATATAATCATTTTCGCCGTAATATTCTGAAAAACTCTTTTGAAATTTCATAATTATTTGCTAAATATTAAAATCTAATTATGATTCTCATATAAAAATAAGCTGCTGAGTTAAAAAACCCTAACAACTTAAAACTGCGAAGCATATTGATGTCAGACTATGCCAGATTTGAAAGTTTACAAATTCACACAAATCTTTCTCCTTGAAAAAGGAAATTTAAAGTGCATTGGATATTTATCGAAGGCTAAAATTTAGCATATAATAAACTATTTTATGAAACTAACGTATTTTGCAATTAAATGAATCAAATTCCTCAAGAGTAAAGCCTCAAGCAATGCATTTGAATGCCAAAAGATGTGATACAGTGTGGAATTTCTATAAAAAAGATAAATATCTCAAATTTCAAAAATAATAGTTATATAAATTTATATAAATATGATTTTTGATGGATTTTTTGTAATGGCTCCTTCACTTTGGTTGAAAATTCGAAAGAAATCTTTGTTGTTAATAATGTAAATGGAAAGAAATGAAGATATTCGATATTTATTAAATATAAATAGAAAAGAAAGTTAATGACAAAGTTCAAGAAGCTGAGCTTCGTATTTCTTCTTGATGCTGTTGAACTGTGGCTTCAAAGATGGTGTAAGTAAGCCATTATCAACTGATGGTTCGACTGTATCGATCAAGATCCTGTCAATCTTTTCAAAACCGCGCATTCCGTTTGCCTTGTATTGCTCAGACAGGTTTTCTATAAGTTCTGCCTGGATTTCGGCGTTCTTAGGGATATCGGCTTCTTTGACGCCCTTAGAAATATACTTTTCAATGATTTCACGCTTTGGAATGACCAATGCAACAGGGCGGTCGTACTGTGAGTTCGCGTAAACGAAGATAAATGTGATCTTTGTAGCTCGGCCGTATTGTTCTGAGAGGTTTGTCAAAGAGATGTATTCTCCTTGGCAAAGTTTGACGAGTTGTTTGGCTCTGTCGATGATCTTGATTTGCTTTTCGTGAGTTAATGTGCAAACATCCCCTGTTGCGAACCAGCCATCTTGAAGAACTTCCTTTGTCAGCTCTGGCTGCTTGTAGTAGCCCTGGAAAACGATTGGTCCCTTGACGAGAAGCTCGCCAGTTGGGAATTCGCCCTTGGCATCGTAATCTGTTCCTTCGACCTTTCTAAATCTGACTTGGCAGGAAAGTCCGCACTGGCCAACGGTTGTTGGATCTGTAGCTGGTGCTTCCTGGACAGCTACACCTGCAGATGTTTCTGTCAAACCGTAACCTTGAATAATATTTGGAGTAATAGCGGAACAAATGAATTCAAAAACGTTTTTCATGATGGGGGCACCACCGTTAACGATCAATCTGATACGACCACCTAAAGCGTTTCTGAAATTATTGAGGAGGAAGTTGTCCAAGATCAAACTTGGTCTAGCGTCCTTTGCAAGGCAATGGGCCTTGAGGCTTATGGCAGCTCTGAGGAGTTTCTGGACGAATTTCGGCTTCTCGTTGATCTTTGCCTGCATTGCGTCGTAAACTCTGTTCAAAATTCTTGGAACGGCCGTCATCATTGTTGGTCTGAGTGTTTGGATGTCGTCCATGATATATTTGATTGGACCTCTGGCGTATCCGATCTTACTTCCTTGATTCAAAACAATTAATTCGCAAACAAGGGCGTAGATGTGGGCCAATGGTAGGAAGGAGAGATATGTATCTGTTGTTGTTGCTGAAACGCCAAGCATTGCAAAGCCACCGGCGCCAGAACAAACGTTTGATTCAAGAAGGACACAACCCTTTGGAGTACCTGTTGAACCAGATGTATACATGATAACAGCAACGCCATCTGGTGTGGATGGTGTTGTCTGGATCTTTGATTCCTTTCCAAGATTGATCACATCTTGGCATGTGTGGAATTTAACCTTTTCAGTTTCACCTGCTGGAACAGTCTTGGCCATGGTGATGAGGCATTTAAGATGCTCGGCCTTCGATAATAGTTCGACGGCTGTTTTTGACTTATATTCGCTGCAAACTAAGGCCTTGACCTCTGCGTGGTTAAGGATATACTCTGCAGCACCTGGACCGAGAGAGTCATAGATTGGAACAACAGTCATTCCTGTGTAGGAACAGGCAAAGAGAGTTGTGGTCCAATATATGCAATTGGATGAATAAATACCAACCTTGTCGCCTGGTTTGAGGCCGAGTTTTAAGAGACCTCTTCCGAAAGCTTCAATTTGAGCAAGGAATTGAGAGTAGGTAATGTATTTGTAATCTGTGGCTTTGTCGCCGTCTAATTGCTCGCGTTCACCAACGGATGGTAAGTCGGCATGTTTTACTGTTGATGTTTTGATAATTTGGTACATTGTTCTGGCATCTGGAGCCGATCTAAATGTGGCAATGAATTCGCCACCGTTTTCATGGATGATATGATTGTTAATGTAAATCTTGCTGAGTCCTTCTTCTTCAGTGCCTTCAATTGGAACACAAATTGGCTCGACATCGAGATGATGGACCTTGAACATTGCGGCAAAAAATTTGTGGGTTTATTGTTGAAAAAAATTTAATTTTTGAGATGGCCTTATAACATTCAATCATCATTTTACTCAAATCCTCATAAGAGCGGTTTTTAAAAATATTATATATTTTATTAATAGGTATAATATATCTTCTATATACGATCGGATTTTTGAATACATCTGAAATTTATTTCATATGAGATTTGGATATTATAATAATAAAGAATAACCTAACAAAATCGAACTTGAGTTGATATGATTTTTAAGTACGATAATAAGATAGAAATCATATTGTTATAGACCGAAAATAGATTTTTTCGGTTTTCTCTTCAAATAATTGAAAGAATGATACTATTATAGGTTTATTATATTATATAGCATATAATCATGCTATAGCCGAAAATTATAAGTTTTGAGAAGATTGAATATAACACAAATAAATTTGAATGTAAGTTAAATTTCTTGTTGTTTTTAATAGCTATATAATGGGAAATCCAATATTGCAAAATTCAAATTGAATGATTGAAAGAACAGAAAAAGTCATTCTTTTCAATTTCGAATATGTTTCATTGTATTTATAATTATATGGCAAATAAGATATTTAAACTTGATTTTTGAAGGAAAATTCACAAAATTGAATGAATTCAAATAATTTTTATTCAAAAATAAACTAGTTATTTGAGTTTAATACTAATTACCTATTCAAACTACAAAGTTTGTAATTTAAAATATTTTGTGAGATCAGATTGAATTAATTCAAGGTTCTTTTCAATTAATATTAATGACCATATTACGCATTTTCGAACATTCTAAACCAAATATATAAAAATGGGAGATGAATGTTAAATTTGCTAGACATGGGGGAGTTGTCTGCAAAGTTTTAGCTCTTATCTCTAACAAAAAATTAATTTTTAAAAAAATGACCGAATACGTTTGGCAAACCCAAATTTTAGCTAAAAGTGACAGGGAAAAAAACGTTTAGTATTAAAAAAAAGACCGATGAGAGCTTCGTTCGAAATATAGAGGGAACTGAGAATGCGCAACCATTCTCAGGGAATATTGGATGCTATTCCCGTTCCCTCTGTATGGAAAATTGAGGTTTTCAAAGGGAGTTAAAATAATATCAAATTTATACTAATTTACTTCAAAATACAAAAGTATTTAACAGCTAAAATTAGTTACTTTAGCAGGCCTATCAATACCCTTTTACGATTATTGCTACTTTTTCGAAATAAAAGTAAAAACAAATTTATACTAATTTACTTCAAAATACAAAAGTATTTGACAGCTAAAATTAGTTACTTTAGCAAGCCTATCAATACCCTTTTACGATTATTGCTACTTTTTCGAAATAAAAGTAAAAACAAATTTATACTAATTTACTTCAAAATACAAAAGTATTTGACAGCCAAAATTAGTTACTTTAGCAAGCCTATCAATACCCTTTTACGATTATTGCTACTTTTTCGAAATAAAATAAATTTATTATCAAAAACCTTTTTTTTCTTAGTAAAAATAAAAATGTTATTTTATATCAAGTTTTTATTCATAAATTTTTATAATGTTGTATAAATTTGAAGGTGGAAATCTGTAATAATTTTATCTTGAAAAGACTTGGCATTCTCAACAATGAATTGAGGGGTATTGCATCCAAATTCTGTAATTTGCGTGAGAATACTAAGCTTGATTTCCATTGGGATACTTAATTTCGAAAAATACTGGGTCATTCGTTTTTGAACCTTTGCTGCCTTGACAACTTTATCAAGTAGGTCATCTAAACCCAATTGAAGCGTATTTAAGTTTGCTGATGAGTTAACTATTAACGATTTAATTTTATCAGTGAGCATTATACATTTTTCTGTATCCAGTCTGATTGTAGACTTTTTTGGCTTTTTTTCAGATGGCAACGGATTTGGAATTTTGTCTCTGAGCCTTATATCTTGAGAAATTCTGTAATAAAATGAAGGAACGATAAAATCGATTAATTTCATCACAAATCGATCAAATCTGATGAAAATTGTTCCGCCAAAGTAGTAATATTTAATTTTTTTGTTAATCGATTCTGAAATGTTATTTGTGAGAGCTAAATTTTCATCTCTTTCAGCGGCTGTCCATCTTTCTTGGTTTGATATCCATTGATTTTGTATGTATTTTGAAAATTCTGGGAATTTTTCGGCTATTTCCAGAATTTTTTTGAACGTTGGTTCAATCCATTCTTTCTTGCCATTTCTGCCGTATGCAAGATAGTTCATTTTTGTATCTAATATCAATTTGTCTGAACTCTCAAATGCATAATCTTTCAAATTTTTTCTGAACGCCCTCATTACATGAACTGCACACCAATGAAGGATAACTTCTGGAAAAGAGTTGATAATCGCATTTTCGATTTCTTGTGCACAATCTGACATAAAATATTTTGGTTTTACTTTTGCCCAGTTAAAAAATGCCTTGAGACAGAATGCAATATTTTCTGAAGTGTTTGGATAAACGACAAATTGAAAAATTGAGAATGCATGTGTATTTGGAAATTTGGCTGATATCATGTAAAACAACATTTTAAATTCAAGTAATGAATGGGTTGCATCAATAAAATGCTCTTTCACAATTTTGATTATGTCCAGAAATTTGAAAGAAGCATAATAAAAGATTAATTTCTTTGGTTTGTTGTAATAAATTAAATCTTTTGGTGACTCTTGTTCTTTGATACCCTTAAATAATTGAGTTGACTTGAATTGATTATCATCGTACTTTTGAATACCTTTGATCTTTTTATTTCCTTTTTCCTGAATTGTTTTCATTTGATCTGAAGATGCATTCAAAAAAGATGGCCTGTTAAGTGGATCATCCAGATCAAGTTTTTTGTCGCATTCAATTTGAGCCATTTTCGGATCACCCCCCTGTTTTATAAAATTAATAAGTACCCGACGATAGCATTGTGATAATGTGTGGTATTTCTTTTTGTCTCATCTTTGATTTGATTGTGATTATGTGTTCCATTATATTCTGTTAGGAATATATTTCACATCATCATCTTTAGAAATGAGATACATGCTCACATTATCTGCACTGCACCTGAATTTTAATTTTGTTCCCCCTAAATTTGGATTTTTTTTTTAATTGATATGGACAACCTGCATGGCATTCGTTATCAATGACAGCTTTCATAGCATCTATATAAGATAGCCTTTCTTTAAGTTCGCATGGTGCATCGATATGCATCAAAAAATGAAATGAAATTTCAATATCAAAAAAAGCACAAAATTTGAAAAAATTCACAAATCTCGGTTTCTGAAAGAAAATGGCCTCTTAAACTTTGTGCATATATTCATCTTTAAGACACATTGTATCCATATATTATTTAGCCAACACAACTTATCTGGTATCGAGAAAATTCAAAAAAAGCACAAAATTTGAAAATTGCTCGGTTCTACATTCAAAATAAATTTCATTAATTTTTACGTACATATTAAGGTACTTATCTTCTACATATATAATCTTCATTAGATATATACATGATAAATAAAATTCATAAAACATTAAAAATCAAAAAATTAGATGAACCTTGGCAATTAAACTTTATTAAATAATAGTTAAAAAAAAAAAAAAAAAAAAAGTAGTGGGGCTTCCAGGCACTTCGTGCCTTCTAGCCCTGAAGTTGATGAGTATAATGAAGTTTTTTTTTTTTTTTTGGGATGGCCTTCCGGGCACTTTGTGCCCTCTAGCCCATAAGAAATTTTGCCCAAGACCCAAGAGGAGGACCGAACCCCAGCCGGTGACACTTTTTGTGTCGCTTTTTCACAAATTATATATGTTTTCATGTTTTGTCAAGACTTCTTCGTAAATGTTTTGTCAAGACTTCTTCGTAAATGTTTTGTCAAGACTTCTTCGTAAATGTTTTGTCAAGACTTCTTCGTAAATGTTTTGTCAAGACTTCTTCGTAAATGTTTTGTCAAGACTTCTTCGTAAATGTTTTGTCAAGACTTCTTCGTAAATGTTTTGTCAAACATGAACGTAAATGTTTTGTCAAGATTTCATCGTAAATGTTTTGTCAAGACTTCTTCGTAAAATGTTTTGTCAAGACTTCTTCGTAATGAGTGTAAATGACCAAAAATATAATTTAGGGTAGAAGGTTAGATCTAACCTCTTTTCTAACCTCTTTTCTACCCTCTTGAATTTGTCATGATTTCTTCGTCATAGGCACGGAGATAGGACGGTTATTTTACAAAACTAACAACACGTTGACCGAGTAGTTTTTTGTGCTGAACAAAAAGTGTCATACAAACATCTGTCAAAAACCGTTTTTTACTTCACTTAAAATGCCACGTAAGCTACGTAAGAATATACGTAAGAGGAAGAGAGCATTGAAACATCCAATAGTAAAACTGACACCACAACAACAGTTGCAACAACAAATTATGAATGACCCCATGTTGCAACAAATGTCAAGCAACCCTATGCTTTTAAACCGAGTTATTGGTGCACAGAGTGGAGGTTTAAGAGCGGCACTTTTAGCGAAAATGGCAGGCTATGGTGGAGCTGCAGACGGAACAGCTTATAACCCTCAAAGTCAAATGAATTTGAGTTCACTCAAAAATCAAATAACAGATGTCAAAAAGTCAAACATAGACATACAGAAACAAATAAGTGAAAACGAAAAGAAACTAGAATATGACAGACACACAAAGAAACTAAATGAGTTAAACGTAGAGAAAAAGAAGAAAGAAGAACAACTGAAAGAACTAAGTACAGAGGAATATGCGAAAAAAGTGTCAGAAAAAGCAGCAGAAGTAGCAAAAATGGAACAAGATGTTATAAATTTGAAAAACCATACTACTCAATATAAAGTACTGAAAGATGAAGAGATAAAACAAAAAGCCATGAAGACATATATGGATAGCGATGAGTATAAAAAAGAAGTTGAAGCAAATGTAAAGGCAGAAAAACTTTTACAGTTGCAAAACCAAACCGTACAGTATGAAAACTTAGCACAAGAAAGTAAAAATAACGACGCAGCCATGCAAAAGGCAATGAAAAGCGCAGAATATATAAAAGCTAATAATGACTGGTTAGATGCCCAAGCCAACGCTAAAGCAGCCCAACTTATAGGGTCAATAAGGACAAAAATACAAGCGGATGAAGACAGTTCAAATGAAGCTTTAATGAATGCTGACTTTAAGAACGCCTTCGAAGCTCTTCATAGTAAGGTGAAACTAGTGAACGACTTCTCATCTGGAAAGAAACTGAAGTCTGAAGGTTTCGACAACGAGTTAGAGAAGTAGCACAAAATATGACGAAAATAACAGATGCAGCAACGAGACAGGCAGTTCAAAGTGCCTATGACGCCGTTAGAGCAACTGTTGTGGAAAGTCAAGAAAAAGAGTTACAACAGACCAAAACAGACCTAGTAAATGCTTTCTTAAGAACGAAAAGTCAGGTAGGACATTATGCTGCAGATGGAACATATGTGCCAGCTGGTGGAACTTATATACCACCAAACCCTCCAAGAGAAGCACCTGCACCAGGACTACCTAAAACATTTACATCGTCACATGGACACAGACACAGGCATGCACCAAAACCAACAGTTCAAAACACTGCACCACAACCAACAGTTCAAAATCCAGCACCACAACCAACAGTTCAAAATCCAGCACCACAACCAACAGTTCAAAATCCAGCACCACAACCAACAGTTCAAAACCCTGCACAACAACAACCACAAACAGAGCAAGGACATAAAAGAAGTAGAGAACAAGGAAACCAAGAATTCTTAAAAATGCTTAAGGAAGACTATGGTTACCCAGATACTCTTGACTTTAGTGACAGATATAAAGAAGCTATTAGAAAGTTCAAGGAAGGAAATACTGACCCGAACCTATTTAGCTTTATGGTTCAGCACCAAATGGGATATAATTTCAAACCTGGAAAATACAAGCTCGCTAAGGGATATGATTTAATAGCATATCATCCAAATGACATGACTGAATTTACTCCAAGATATTTGGTGTCAGAGCTAAACGATAATTCAACTCTCTTCATGAAACGCGTAAAAAATAGAGACGGAACGAAAGAAGAAAGGTTTATGAGTCCGGATGACTTAGATAGGGAACTTTTTAAAAACGGTCTCGGAATATATGAAATGCCAGCAGATGAGGTACAAGAAACTCCACAGGAAGAAGTTCAGATACAACCAGACATGGAAGAAATAGTTCAGCAACAACAGCTAGAAGAGCCTGAAGGAAACAAACAAGTCCCTCCTTTGGAAACTAACTTCACAGAACTAGATGAAGATTTGGAACAGCCGAAAAATCTTGACCCTCAACAAGAGTATGCGGAGAATATGGAATCTTTCCAAGAGTCTAAGAAAAATTCAGCTGACATAGTAGAAGAATATCGAAAAATGTTCGCCGACATACAAAAGACTCCAACATCAGATGAAAATATCCAGCATAGAATGGAAGTACTGAAAGATAATGTACACAAATACAACAATCCTTTTTACTTACGAGCATATAACGTTCAATCTTTGGATGAACTCGGTGAAAATAAAAGGTTAAATTTCAACAAAACATATAGAAATGAAACATTGTTTAAAGTTCATTCAGAACCTAGCCAATATGGAAACAAACCTACTTTTGTTTCTGCAGACGATGGAACTACAATGAGATGGGGTCATAAAGCTAATCCGGATAGGTGGTTCATAAACTTACAACCACAATTCCAAGAAGTTGTAGACGCAATGGAAGTGAATGGTGAACCAGATGTAGCTGGTATTTTCAGCGCGGCTTTAATGCCATTGAAAGATATGAAAGATGCAGATATTTTGGACCGGTATGAAATGAACATGGCTGATGGAAATATAACACCTGACGTTCTAGAACATTTATCTCAAAGAACTACACAGAACCATAGAGATGGTATATTTGGTGAAGAGTTTAGAAAGAAGTTAGGGAGAGAGAAGGAAGAGAACCTATTGTACATGACCTTGCAAACGAAAGTTTGCAAAATGTCATAAAAAACTTTTGCAGACAATGAACCGAGAAGGGATGAATATTTAAGAAAACTCAAATGGACAGTACCAAATGAAATGTTAGTATTGAAAAACATGTTCCTTGACAAAATAAAACCAACTACAGAAATAAATGACGCAAGACTGAAACATTGGGTAAAAGCTTTCCCATTCACAAAAGATATTATTGGTAACATGGAAAGAAAACCAGAATGGCTACAAAAACATATATTTGGAAACGAGCTTATTCCATATGGACAAGCTATATTTGAAGAGCTTGAACCGGAAAACTCAGGAAAGAGTCATGCAAACAATAAGCGAAGACTCAAATACAAACTACTATGACAAATCTTTCTAGGATATAGGTTACCTGAGATGGGCGACCAGAGCCCAAAGGCAAAAAGGACATGGGAAATTTACAACATACTAGGTGAACATGAGGCAAAGATGCAACAACTTGAAGCAGAGGGCAAGTTACCAAAAGCGACACCAAAGAAGAAGAGTAGAACAAAGTAAAGCTTGGTCCGAGTGGGTTCTATTATGATATATAAATCCAACTATTCTATATTTTTACCCATATGAAATGTACGCCGCTCAGAATATAACGCCAACAGTTTTGGATGCCATGAACGGAAATGTTTCCGAATGGTATAACGAATGCGACAATGCCATTAGAAGGTCAGAAATAGTTCCTGGAACTTACGAATATACAACTGCTGTTTCTTATGGAAATGTAGGTGAGTTTGGTGAAGGTTCTTCAACAACAGTAGATATTGCTTGCGACAGGTTTCATATTATTTCTATTGACAACTCATTCTTATACGTGGAACAAGACATTGAAATAAAACCTTCTGCCAAGTTGTCTGACAAGAAAGGTTGCAATGGAATTTTCTATGTCGGATACCAATATGCTCCAGAAGTTTTCATGGGATATAAGATATATTCTAACTCTGACTTAGTTCAAACAGTAACATGGGCAAACTATGAATGGTTCGCTTTGAGAAACTCAGTACAACACAAGCTAGAGAACAAACAGACCAGTATGCAAATATTGAGAAAATAAGAAGACTTGACCCTAACGTTCCAGGAGTTTATGTTAACCTTTCTGGTTCAGATGGAACTGCTGCCACTAAAGTAAAACTGAAACTTAGAGTTCCTTTGTCATCTTTCCTCATCTTCAGGTTTTTAAGATACTTGCCAAACTGGGCAGGAAAAATTTCTATCGAACTTACTCCAAGCAAAAATAACTTAGTCATTGCACCAAACAAGACCCATTCAGCATTACTATAGCTGGAACTGGTGGAGCCAAGTTCTGTGACTTTTGCAAAGACAAAGTTGACTTAGACTTTGGTTTCTCAAACTTCAACAATGAAGTAAACTATTATTTCAATGCTGCTGGAACTGCTTGGGACCCAGTTAAGTTTACATGCGAAAAGTTTGAATGCAAGAGAATAGAAAGCAGACTTGCAGTCTATATGTTGGACCCAGATATTTCAAATGCTTTAGCTGCCAAATATATTGCAGTTCCACTTATGTTCCCTATACACCAAATATCTGTCAAAGACTTTGCAGGTGAAGTTGGAAACCAAAGTGCTGACCCAGGTGCAAGAACAGATATTGCTTTAACAACTGCAATGAAACATGCAGATACTATGTTTGTACTGTTCAGACGAACTATAAATGACTATTTTGTTTCTACAACCCTGGTATTAAATATCATATAAACATAGATGGCAAATATTATCCAAGAGAAGAATATTCTACAGTTGAGGATATGAGGTCATACAACTTGACATTAGATGCTATGAACTTTAACAACAACTTCACAACAACCATTAACCTGAAATGCAAAGTTCTATTATGCCATATGTGAAAGTATGGACTCATACAGGAGGTCAAAAAACTCAATATACAAATGGAGACCGTTCAAACTTTTGCTTGGCATTCCATTTGCTGACTCAGAAGACTTTATGGGTGGTATTTCAACTGTTGGTACTGTACAAATACAATATACTGGTGACAGAGACGGTCCAGATGAACTGAGAGCAAAGAAGTTTACAAAACCAATAGCACTTTTCACGGAAGATGCTCTTTTGAAATTCGTTCGATGAAACCTGCTGGGCTCCTCAGATTGGTATAACGACAGCTTCCATCGAGCAGATTTTGGCAGCAGGTCAGTAAGTTGTTCTTGAACTGACTTCTCTCCGTCAAATATTGACAGTACGCCAGTTTTGACATAATATTGTAAGATAAAATTAAACTTACCTTTAGAAAATATCTGTAAGTTTTTGTTGTTATATTTTTGTCTGCTTCAAGAACTTTCACCATTTCAGTTATACAACTTTCTTTGCTTTATGAAAATATTTAGGTTCAGCAAAGACTGCTATTCTATAACAATTTACCATTGTTTGTATAAAGAACTATTCTGTCAATGTATTTGTATTGTTTGTGTGTGTAAACTTTGTTCTGCTTCAAATTCAAAGAGATACTCAAATACGTCCATCTTTTTATTCTAAGTAAAAATGTCATTTCCGAAAAATAGAAGCGTGAGTTTTCAAAAGGTTTAATGGCGGTGGCAGATGTGAAGTTAAATTCACCAACTCAAACAAAACAGTCAAAGTGTTGTTGTCAATGTCAAAGACAGAGATGTTGAAGTGGGGAAACCATACGAAGACGAAGATGGTATAACAATTGTTCCTGTAAAAGAACAACCAACATATCCTGAAGTTAGCAGAGACTTAAGTTCTGTTGCAGATATTCGAAACGACTACCAACAACTGAAAGACAAACTTCAAACTCAGGAGAAGATTTGTCAAGCTTTAGGTATAATGTTAAACTTGGTCGAACACAACCCTGTAAAAGTGAACTCATATGTCATTGCACCTCA